ATGGCGGCGGCGTGATGATGCACTGGCGGTGGCGGTGGCGGTGGCGGGCCCTGTGTCCGATGGTGGCGGCGGGCTGAGGACACGGAGGGAGGAGGACGAGGAAGAGCAGCTGCCGGGGCAGCAGCAGCAGTATTACCACCAACACCACCACCAAGACGAATACCAACAAGAACAGCAACAGCAACCGGAGCAAACATTGGAGCAACAATCCCGGACAGGAATGGTGCAGGAATGCCTTCTGGGGCCTTCGGGGGTTGCGTCGAACGACGGTACGGAAACAACGTCCAGGGGCGGCGGCGAGGGCGGCGGCGAGGGCGGCCGCAGCGTTAGCGATCAGTCGGGCTTTTGTAGCTGGGCTAGCAATACCGGCGGCGGTGGCGGCGGTGGCGGCAGCGGCGGCGGACGGGTTGAGGACGCAGTGGCGGAGGCGGTGGCGGAGGCGGTGGCGGAGGCGGAGGCGGAAGTAGGAGCGGGACCTCATCACGTCACATCAGAGCAGCTTTCCAAGAGGCATCGCAACCCAAGTGACCAGCAACAGCATGCAGCAATAGCAGCAATAGCAGCACTAGATGAAACGGGCGCATGCAATGCGGATGTTCCGCTCGAGTATGGTGACTCTGACGTGCTGTACGACAGCGGTGATGTGTGTGATGACGAGTGCGAAAGTAGAGAGTACGTCGAGTGGCCGGGGGACTTTAGCCTGGAGGTAGGGGAGGAGGGGCCTGGTGGGGAGGGGGTGCAGGGGGGGGAGGAGGGGGAGGAGGAGCGGGTAAAAGGACCGGACCAACAACAAGTCCGACAATACGGGGAGGCGCAGAAGAAGGAGCGAGACGCGACACATTCGGAGATCCAGCATCCGCAGGATGGCGACCCGCTGCCACAGCAGCAGTTGCAGGAGGAGGGGGAGAAGGAGGAGGGGGAGAAGGAGGAGGGGGAGAAGGAGGAGGGGGAGGTGGTGGCGGCGGTGGCAGCAGTGACAGTGGTGGATGCCGCGGCGGGGGCACGGGAGGAGGGGGACGGGGGTTTCAGGGTTGCCGGAGAAGCTGCGCGCAATCGGACTACTGCGACCAAGACAGCAACGACGGGTACGACAAGTACGATAACAAACACGACTATCTCGGTGGACTGGACGGGTTGGGCGTCTACGTCCCACACGTCCGGGCCGTGTGCACCGGATCCGCCGGTGACGTCATCATTGGTGAGGCTGGTGTACGGGTGATGTAGAAAAAGCGTAGCCGTTATGTAGCCGTTATGTAGCCGTTATGGCGCCGCTGTAAGAATCGCTTCATGCGTGCGGTGATATTTGGGGGGGAGGGGGGGGGGGGTCCCGATCGCGAGTTTGCACACGGCGCGCGTGGTCCATGTGCGGGTATGTGTGCTGTGGGGGGCCTGTCCCGGCGGGAGGTGCCGCGTGGGGGGGGATGGGTTTTTGCCTGTTTCGCCTGCCTCCCTCGGCATCCCCGGCATCCAAACACAGCCTCGCTTACTCGCTTCTCCCTCATCTCCACCTCCACCTCCACCTCCACCTCCACCTCCACCTCCACCTCCACCTCCACCTCCACCTCCACCTCCACCTCCACCTCCACCTCCACCTCCACCTCCACCTCCACCTCCACCTCCACCTCCACCTCCACCTCCACCTCCACCTCCACCTCCACCTCCACCCGCCCCGCCTCGGTTGACAGTCCTATCGCCGACTCGGCCGTGCACCTTCCTTCCCCCGCTACCCCAGGCAGTAGCTTCCCCCTTGGACGGCTGTAGCCGACCGGTGAACGCCTTGGAGCTGGCGGGGGCTGCAGCGGTGGTGGCGCGGGGAAACTGCAGCTTTATAACCAAGGTACAGCACATGCAGGATGCAGGTAAGGTGGTGACTACCAAGCTGGCGAGTAGGGAGGGGGGGGAGGAGGGGAGGGAGCGACGAACCACGAACCCGAGTGAAGCTGCTGCCAAGGAAACCCTAAGAAGCAGGACTGACCAGTAGGCGGTTTTGAAGGAACCGACCTCGGGGTGATCTAATGGTAATGATGACGACCGCGGAAACCTACCTACCTACCCACCCACCTAGGGGGGAAGGGAGGGAGGGAAAGACGAACCACACACGATAGGGAGGGAGGGAGGGAGGGAGGGAATTTAATATAAAAGGAGTACATCGCCTATGTCGTGAGTTCTATAGATGTCCGTCCATCCCTTTGTGGTGGAGCGTTGTTTTACACAAGTTACAAGTTCTCCGCACACACACGTGCGGGGGTGTCCGTGAAAGCCTGGGGGGGGCCCATGGGCGGTAAATCGTTTTTAGTGCGGTTACGTGGTGGACCATCATCGTCCTTCTGAGATCCTCGTCCGCTTGAGCACGAAGCGCTTTAGAACAACGTGCCGGGTCTCCCAGACTTCTATATGTGTGTAGTAGGTTGTCAAGTTGCCCTGAGAGACAGAGAGAGAGAGAGAGAGAGAATGTGTGTGCGTGTGTGTGTGTGTGTGTGTGTGTGTGTGCATGTGCATGTGCATGTGCCTGCCGCAGCGATTGCTAGGTAGAAACACAGGAGACAACGAACCGACCTCGTTCCACATGGAACGGTAACAGCTAGACGAGCCTAGCTAGAGAAAGGAAGCCGTCATACCCGGCGGGGGCGTCGACATCTGCTTTCGACATCTTTTTGCTCTCCTGGGGAAAGATTGCTCGAAGAAGACAATAAACGTTTTTTGTACCCCGACGACGGCGCTGTTGACAGTTTCCAATAATAGCTCCCCACTCCGTACTGCTGAACACATTTGGTGCTGCTCCGAAATCCACTAAATTGCCCCGGGCAGGCGCGGCGGCGGTTGTCGTGATCAATCTCATGCACCCCACGGAGCTCATTAGTATGGCCCCGGATGAATCGGGATTCCAGCCAGACATTCCGGCAGTGCTCATTACCGGACGTGACGGCAGGCGGCTGTTGCGCGTCATCGACGCCGCTGCCGCCTCCAGCGGCGTCGGTGGTAGCGGGGTCATGCCACTGGTTGTGTCGTTGTCGCGTCTGCCACCGCCCTTGGTGTCGCGAGCAACAAGGATGGCGGTGGCGGAGAAAGCCGCTGCCGCCGGAGGCGGTGGCGGCGGTGGCGGCGGCGCCGCCGCCGCCGGCACCTGCGCTGCGCGGCCGCGTGCCGCTGAAAGCGGCGGCGGCAGCGGCGGTAGCGGCGGCAGCTCCTCCTCGTCTATTAGCACTCGTTTGGATTTGCTGGTTCCCGGAGGCTCACACAACTTCTTGATGATCAATGTGCTGAGTCGGGGTCGAACACTGCAGCAGCTGTTCGAGGAAGTGCTTCAGGACGGACGTGCGGTGTTGCTGCTGCAGCAGCTGGCGCAGAGGAATGCTCGGCAGGTGCTGGCGCAGATAGAACAATGGCGACAGCTCATGGCCATGGAACGAGAAAGACAGCAACAACAGCAACGACAACTTCAACTACAACTACAACAACAGCAGCAGCAGCAGCAGCACAAGCAACGGCAACAAGGGCAAATGCCTTGAAGGGTTGCCGCTGCTGAAGGGGTTGTTAGGGGGCTGTAGCTAGGTGCGAATCCGCACCAAGGACGCCGACGTTCCCGCAGCATTGGAAAAGTACGCATGCCGTACTGCAGGGCATTTGAACTGTATTGCGTCTGACGTGTATGTGCTGAATGTATTAAAAGCCAGTTGAAGGTCGAGGAGTCGACGGTGCTAATCTATGTGGATATTTTCGCCGCGGTTTTGACCCAGAAGAGCCATTGGAGTAGACGTGGCGATGGCGGTGTTGATGCTGATGACGTTGATGATGTTGATGTTGGCACAGCGCTAGGCTTGGCGGATGGTGACGGGTCCTATGTGTGCATGTGCGGATGATTGCCGGGAGGAAGAGAGAGAGTGAGAGCAAGCGGGGGCGGGCGGGCGGGCGGGCATACACAGCGTGTACACAGAGCGTAGTACCGTGTGTATGTGTGTGTCGTATTCGTGTATTCGTATGTGTCGTACAAAAGGTTCCCACTCACACGAACGGAGGCTGTGTGGGTAGGGGGCATAGTAACGGCAGGACGAAGCGCCCCGAAGGGCCGCAAGGGGGTTCCGGGGAATAAGTGTACGATTCCGGTCAGTGGACGACACGTCCCTCTCACGCCCTCACGAAGACTCGCCGTCGGGGGCAAGCGGGGGAAGACATATAGCGTCATTGCGACTTCTGAGGTGATGTGGGAGTGTCCGTAATCCGACGGAACGGAAGATAGCTGTATATTGTGTTTGCTGCTAGCGCTTGAGTGGGATGGCTGTTGTAAGGGAGTTGGGAGGTTTGCGGAAAAAGGAGGGGATGGTAGGGTTGCAGGCAGGCCGAGGTGTCGCGGCAGTCCAGCTAGGCTGAGAGGAGGACGTGAAGGAGGAGGGGAGAAGAGGGCACGCAATAGTTCGTGAGTGTAGAACCGGGCCCACCCGTCTTTCCACGGATCCGCGTCGATCCATGTGCAGTTAAAAAGCGTGTTGGATTTCATCTGGAGAGATGGGACGCCTTGCGATTCTTATTAATACACTGTGAGGTAATGTGCAGTGTACTGTTCGAATGTGACAATCGTAAGCAGGCCGTCGTAAGCAGACGCAACAGGTATGGCAAGGGCAATGGGAAAAGCCTGACGAGGCACCGAGGGGCGATGCTGTACTCTGCTTTCTTTCCTGAAGAGTGTGGCCAAGCAGCTGCGTGTCTGCGGAAGATGAGATAAACACCATGATTTGCAGATGTGGACCGCCTACGCATTCGGTTTGAACAAATTCATGATACCTGGCGCTTGGGGATTTGGAAGACCGCAATTTAACCAGAATGGCGGTTGTGGCTCCAACGGTTGTGGCCTCCCGCTCTTTTCCGTTGCGCTGGCATTTTGCTCTGATAGCTTCTTGAAATGATACACACAACGATTTTCGTTGAAATGTAAAGGGAAAGCGCAGGGTGATGTAGCCGACGGGCAATTCTTCACCCAGCAGTTCATGTATTGCCGGAAGAAAATGACAGCCTCGCAACCCAAGTGGTTTACGCCTCTCAGGCTCCTAGGCATCTTCTGTTTGACAAACCTGGTGGTTTACCTTGACCGAGGTGCGTTGTGTGCCTGAAAGACATCGGAAGCTCTCGAAATTGGTCGAGAGCTCACACGGCATGTAATTGGTTGCAGGCCTCATCGCTAGCAATGGAGTTAACGGCTCGCCTCGAACTGAGGAAAACCCAAGCGGAACTGGCATCCAGGTCCGTCTTCCATTGTCTCCTCAAACGCTGACCCGTTGTGCGTCCGGCCACATATGGCCGCGCGGAATTTCATAGAAACATTGTCAAACGTGTTATCATAAGGAGATCCTCCCAAGCTCTCTCTTTTCAACGCCAATTAAACCACTACTCGTCGAAACCCGCACCTCCCCCCTCACTGCCCCTCCTTAAAATCTCACCACCACACTGAAACGTCCCCCGCATCCCCCGACCTCCATCCTCCCATTCCCGCAACAGGGCGATTTCAATTTATCATACTTCGCGGATGGTCTGCTGCCAGCTATCTTCATGGTGGGACTCCTCCTAAGCTCCCCGGTGTTTGCGGAAGCGGTCAAGCACTGCAGCGCCTTCCGCATGTTGGGCTGGGGCATGGCAGTATGGTCCGCGGCTGTGGTGGCCTGCGGGGCAGCGCCCAACTTTGGTTGCCTCCTGGCGGCTCGTGCGTTTGTGGGGGTGGGGGAGGCGTCCTTCGTCGCGCTGGCTGCACCGTTTATCGGTACGTGGAAGTGTGGGCGAGGAAAATAGACGAGAGGCGGCGTTGGGGGAAAAGGGGGTTCCAAATAAATATTGCCGGCTTGACGAATGAAACAATTACTGCAGAAAAACCCGTGAAGCTAGTATCGCGATTTTTTAAGCGGTGTTGTTAGACCATCTGTTGACTCCTTGCTTGCCTTGGATTGAATTGATCAAGACCCACCCTTGTCTCTTCTTCCCGCCCTCCTCTTCTTTTTCCCCTCGGTATTTATTTCCTTAACTTTTGTACATATGTACGTATGTATGTAGGTACATATATTATTTCCCCCTCCTCCCCCTCCTGGCCTCTCCTCCCCAGACGACTTCGCGCCTGCCGCCCAGAAGACTCGCTGGTTCGCCGCCTTCTACCTGTGCATTCCCGTGGGCTTCGCTGCGGGCTACATCTTCGGAGGGCTGGTCAGCGCCGTGACCACTTGGCGCTGGGCCTTTGTGTGCGAGGGGCTGGCGATGGTGCCCTTCGTGGTGTTCGTGTTGACTGCGCAACCGCTGAGTCTGAAGGGCTCGGAACCGGCGGGTGCGAGACGGGTATCGGCGGTGGGGAAGAGGGAAAAGGGTTTTTGGCGAGGGGGGTGGGGAAGGGGTGTGTGAAATACACTCGGTCGGTGCCCCAGCACGGTAAAAACATTGTTGCCGGTGACTTTCGGTTTTTACGTCGATGACCCAAATCGTGCCATTCAAAACACATACTGGCCAGCCTGCCTTCCCCCTCCGCTCACTTTACATACATACATATCTACAATCATGACAAACACCCGGTCCCTTTCGTTACCCGACCCGACCCGCACCGCTTCCCCCCAAAAGGAGGTCATCACCGCTCCCAGCACTACGACCGCCGCAGCTGGCGAGATGTCGTACGGGAGTTCCTTGCTGACGTGGCCACCGTGTGTCGACAGCGCGTGTGGGTTTCGGTTTGCATCGCCTACACCGCCTACGTGGCTGTGCTGGGTGTGTATGCGTACTGGGGCCCCAAGGCCGGCAGGGCGCTGTTCTTCGGTGCGGACGACTCGGGAGGCTCCGCAGATCTGGTGTTTGGCGGCGTGACGGTGATTACGGGGGTGGTTGGCTCGGTGGCTGGAGGACTGGCGCTGGACAAGATGGGTGAGTGGCGGTGGAGGCCCCGAGCTCAGAGCATTGTAAAACTGCCGCAATGGTTCAAAGCAATGATGGGAACTGCTTTTTAAGAAGCTGGGAGGGGGAGGTGGAGGGGGGGACTGTTAGAGGGGGGAAGGAGGGGAGGAGGCAATGCATGCGGTGTGATGGGAAATTCTAAAACCCGGAAAGGGGGGGAAAGGGAGGTGTTATTGCCAACTACCACTACCTCCCCCGCCTTCCCGCCACATCTCCCCAACCTCCAACATAGTTCCCCGCCCGCCCCACCCCCCACACACGCAGCCAACCCACTCATCCCTTCCCCCCCACCCGACAGGCTCCACCCTTCGTAACGCCAACCTGCTATGTGGTGTATCCACTTTGGCGGGGTGCTGCTTCCTGCTGCTGGCCTTCACCACTTCGCGAACCTTCGCGGCCTTCATGGGGGTGTTCGCGCTGGGGCAGCTGGTCATATTCCTGCTGCAAGTGGGTGGTGATGGGAGCGGTGTTGGGAGCTACAGATGTGTGTGGGTTTGGGGGATGGGGGGATTGTAATCCAAAAGTCATCCAAATCCCCACTCTAAAACTCCAGCCCCCCCTTCTCCCCCCCCCCCTCCCCCCCGACCCAGTACACACACACGGATCCAGGCCCCCGTGGCGGCCACGGGTATGTGGTGTGTTCCCCCGGAGTTGCGGCCCCTGGGCGCCTCCCTCACCACCGTGTCCATACACCTGCTGGGAGACGTGCCCTCGCCCCCCTTGGTGGGGCTCCTGCAGACCCGCCTAGCCGCGGGTAAGGACCCTGGGCAGGCCGCTCAGCAGTGGCGGATATCCCTCAGCGTGTGCACGCTGCTGCTGCTGCTGAGTGGGGGCATGTTTCTGCTGGCCGCGGCACAGTCCGGGCCCGGGTCGGATTTTCGGGATCAACCGCCGCAGCCGCAGCAGGTGGGCAGGGCGGGGGAAGGGGGCGGGGGAGAGGAGGAGGGTGGGGAGGGGTGTGGGAGTGGTATAGGGAGGAGAGGGAGCGGGTGTGGGGAAGGAGTGAGGGGGGTGGCTGTGGGAGTGGGAGGGGGGGAAGGGGAGGGGGGTCTGGATGGGCGGCCGCTCTTAGGGGAGAGGGAAGGGAGGGTTAGCAGTAGCAGCCGGTTTAGCGGCGTGGAAGATCTTAGCGAGTAGGCAGAGGCAGCGTGAGGGGGGAAAGTGTAAATGCGGCTGCGTGAGGGGTTGGGGGGTTGGGGGAGGGTAATGTTTTTGCGGCTGTTGACGAGAGACCGTTTCGTGCTTTGCGTCGTATCGTCGTAAGGAGATGCCGTATACATGTTCCACTACTACTTTACGCGTGTTCGAATTTTGTAAAGAAACGACGCGACGGTCTCTCTCTACGCGGAACACTCTACAAAAAGTGGCCAACCGGTTTTTTGATATGGCGGTTGTTTGCGCCACTGTTTGCGTCATATCACCGATGGTGGTGGTTGAAGGTGGTGCTGGTGCAGGTACACTACCAGAGCATTAATTCTTTATGTGGCAAAAGTTTGTGCAGGAGGAGGAGGTGGGGAGAAGGGTGTTCGCTGGGCATCAAACTATGTTGTCGGCGCGGCTGTGGTGTGTGTATGGCGGTATGCGACCACCACTTGCACCAGATTATTGCGGCGCTTGCTGAACTTTGTGGATTTCTAGAGTCTGCGCAATTGCTGCACCCGGACCAGGTCCCGTCATGACCCGGATCCGGATCCGGAGCGTCAGATTCGAATCTTAATCGTTTGTGTGTCTCTCTCCAACCCCCATCTCAACATCCGTAATTACGATCCGCTGATTACGATCGCACGGCAAGGCGCACCTGCTCAGCATGGCGGCTGTGCGTGATTTCGACATACATACATACATATATCCATCTACCTTTCATCTCACCCACTTTCTGATACTGTATTGCCCGGCTGTCCTGCTTTCATATCTCAATAGCAAACAAGCTTGCACACACAAACAAACATATGCACGCATGCATGCGAGAAACTCCTTTCTATTTTGACTTCTCTTTGGTTGTTTTCTAATTGCGCACCGCCAGCTGGTGCATTACGTTTGTAAAGCGGGGCAGGGCGCCGCCGATGACCTTTTTCTTACCAGGAAAATCTTCCTAACGGCTGGTTCGTTGTCATTTTGCCAAAAATCCTCCTCAGGTGGAGAAAAATGTGACGAATCTGCAAAAATCTTTGGTAATCCAAGGCGTGTGGAGTCCGCTAATTGCCGCTTTCACCTAAAAATGACAGGCAGATAGAACGAAAGAAGACGAAGGAAAGCCTTCTAGCTGCATCTAACGCTTTCCATAGCCTCTAATTCGTTCGCGCAGACAGTAGATTAGGCAGCTTTGGAGGATTTTCTCTAGCAACCGAATTAAAAGTGCTTCAGCAGCCGTAGCTGGGGCACGGCAGCCGCACTTCGCGGATTCGCCAGGCAGAAGCGAGTAGCCAGGGCCCCGCTCCTCCTTACCCTAGATACCTGAACGGCTCGATTGCGGCGCTTGCATAGGCGGCATGGCGCCTGGGCAAAGCGAGCCACACGAGCAAGCATGACAATGCGAACGGTTGAGCCGAGGAGCGTAAGAGTCTCAGAAGAAGGAATTGCATGACAGCAAGCAGGAAAGGTTCAGTATCTCCTCCCATAGGATTGTCAGCGAGCAGCAGGTCCTCAGCACAAGATGCACATTTCGGCAAGCGCCTGTAGGCCGGGCAATATGCAGCTCCTTAAATGGGAAACTATGTCTTATCGATAGAAGTCCTGTACATTTGTTATACGTTGAAACGCCTTGTAGATCATGCAAACCGTGTCTACGGCGACCTTCTTGTCCGGCGCGTCGCAGCTGTGCGGTGGAGGGTAGATCAAAGCAATTACAACTTTTAAGACGAAGGGGCATAAGAGCTCACCATATTTCAGCATGCTTCGGTGCACCCGGGCCCTCTGGGCTTACGTAAATCTGACGTACCGTGTTTTCGCGTCGGAGAGCCCTCCCGCGCTGAAACCTGGCGATGCTCTATATCCTGCTACAATGTTGAGCTTGTTATATTGCTCAAGAGCTAAGCTGGCCTATGTTTCTGAAACAGTGGCCGTTCTTCCCCTTGCCTCCAATTTGGCATCGGCTTAGTGTGCTTTTCCCTAATCAAGGTCCTAGACGGCATTGCCGCTGCAATTGCCTGGTGGAGAGGAATTCACATGCATTGCGAGCTTCATAGTGCTTACGGCTCATCCTTAGGCATCATGCTCTTTCCGCCCAACTGCTTCAAATGAGTACTGTTTACATATAGGTTCATAAGAGGCTTTCCTCAAGCTTCACTGAGTTCCGTAAAGTTTCTCGGACCGGCTGGGCGCCTACGTGGACTGTCGCATCAGCGGGTAAGCAAGATGTCCTTTGATCGCGGCCTTGTATCCGTATGAACCAAATTGAGGATTAGGCGTCGGTTCTGGGCGCAATGTGGCGCCTGCGTTTTTGGCGAGTTTCAGTGAGTTTACCTTTAGGTCGTGAAGATTGCTGTCGCCAGCAGTGCATAAGGGAAAATCCAAAATAAAGGACAATTCAGGCAGGATTGTTGGAGACGCTGGACTTGATGTTCGTTACAGGTACATGGCGGAGCGCAGGGCGGGTGGTCCGGCAGGGGCACACCAGGCAGCCACAGCTGCTATAGCCTGGCAGCAGGTCTTAAATGGAGTCAGCAGCGCAGGCTTGGTTGCATCCGGCAACAGAGTACCCATGGCTGCGCCCGAGCTGGGCCAGGTGGTCGCGCTCGCCGCGCCACGGGCAGCCTTTCCCGCAGCAACAACCCAGAGGCATCAGTTTGGTTCAGCTGGGCGTGCCGCGCTTCATATGGCTCGACAGGTGAGGCCGGACCAGCTGCAGTTCGCTGGCGCACTTGAGACACAGGTCCTGCAGATATATCAGCTGGGCCTGAACGACCCCACCTACAGCACAGCATCCCTTTATCAGCATAACCCGCATCACCACCACCAACAACAACAGCATTACCAGCAGCAACAACAACAACAGCAGCAGCAGCAGCAGCAGGTTTTGCAGCATAGGCAGCGCGCACAAGTTATGGCCGCGGTTCCCGTCGCGCTAGGGCACGCCGGCGCCTTCCTCGAGGCGCATCAACTTCTGGTTCCGCCGCCCCTCACCGCGGGGTCCCATGTGGTCATGGATGCAATAGCCAACCCGCTGGCTTCGGGGGTGGCGCAAGCTGTGGCCGTGGGCTCACTCGCCCAGCACATTCAGCCTGTAGTGCACCCGGCAGCCGCGGCGGCCGCCCTCGCTGCTGCCGAAATTCAGCAGCAGCAGCAGCAGCAGCAGCAGCAGCAGCAGCAGCAACAACAACATCAATATCAATATCAGCGGAGACGACAGCGGTTAAGTCAGGCAGTTTTTCAACAGCAGCAGCAGCAACAACAACAACTGCAACTGCAGATGTTACAGCAGCAGATACAACACCAGCAGCAGCAGCAGCAGCTCGCCCTCCAGCAGCAGCACCAGCCAGCCATTGCCCCCGCGCAGCCCGTCGTCGCGCAATCGGCCCATATCCAATCGCTGCACCAGCAGCACCAGCACCAGCATGAACAGCAGCAGCGGCAGCAGCAGCAGCAGCAGGTCCTCATACAATCGCAACGGCACCGAGTTGCACGGGCCATCCGGCCGCTCTCCTCCGCCGCCATCCTGGGGGCCCCCCCGGCGTCCGCCCCTCTCTCAACCGCCGCCGCCATCCCCGCCGGCTGCGACTCCGCACCCTCGCACTCCTTCAGCTCACCTGTACGGCTACACCACTTATCTGGCGGCAGCAACACTTCAGGCTCCTCACCCGCACAGCATCACAGCGCTACCTGCGCCGTAACAGCCACCGCCCTGGTTGCTTCCGCAGCCGCAGCCGGCGGCGGCGGCGGCGGCGGTGGCGGTGATAGCTCCGCCACTGAGTTTTGCGAGGATCTGTTTGACATTTGCGACGGCGGCAGCTCTGACGGCGTCGACGCCTCTGACAACGAGTACGTCAGTCCTAACCACCCCATTAGTGAGGAGGCGTCCTCCTGGGCCTCACTGACAGCCGGCCTGCTGGCGAGGATTATGGGGGAGCTGGCGGCCGCCGGGGCGCTGCTGGCGCTGGCGCCGGCGCTGCGCCGCGTTTGCCGCCACTGGCGCAGCGTCGTGGACGTGCACCTGGAGTCCCTCTCCCCCAACGTCATGAAGGTCCGCGCCATCACCACCCGGTTCGCCTCCCTTCGCGCGCTTCACCTCGACCGCTGTGCAAACATCCGCAACAGGGACTTGCTCGTGCTGTCGCGCGCCCCGGCCGCGCAGCACCTGCATACTCTCACCCTGGGTGACGACCGCGCCCGACCCTGGGTCAGCAATCGGGGCCTTGCCTCCGTTTGTCGCATCACTTCCCTCACACGACTTATACTCCGGGACTGCCTGTCCCTCACCAACCGGGGCCTCGCGCCGTTGAGCTCGTTGACGGGCCTAACGTGCCTGTCACTGCGCGGATGCAGAAAGTTGACGAATCAGGGAATAGAGGCACTTCGCGGGTTGCAGCACTTGCAGCATCTGTCGTTGTACGGCGTGGTACGGCTGTCGGACAAGGGCCTTGTGCCGCTGGCGGCGTTGCCGGCGCTGCGGACGTTGGAGCTTGGTTATACGCGTGTTCGAGATGAGGGGCTGGGTCATGTGGCGGTGCGACTCGGGGGGTTGCGCGCGCTTGTGTTGGTGCGGGAGGAGGTTACGGACGCGGGTGTACGGCAGCTGTCATCGCTGAGCGGTCTTACGCGGCTGGTGCTCCGTGACACTGTTGAGGCCACCGGGGAGACCTTGGCGGTGTTGCTGCCCGCGCTGAAGGAGCTGCAGGTGCGGGAGGAGGAGGGGGGGGGAGAGGGGCAAGGGAGGAGGAAGGGGGGAAGGGGGGAGGGAGGGGCGCGGAGGTGTTGGCGAATGAGAAGGGATAAGGGGGGTTTGGGTTTAGGGTTTTATTCAATAATATTATGATTGTTTAATGTATTATTGTTATCATTATTATTATTATTATTGTTGTTGTTATTATCATCATCAATGATAATGTTGACGATGATGACGATGATGTAACAGCAACACGCGGCCCAGCCTTTTTTTCATTTCGACCTGTCCAGGTCAGTCCAAAGGGGATTTCACACCCCTAGTCGTGCCGTGTCGTGTGCTGCTGTAGTGGTGTGGGACCAGGTTCCACAGAGATTGTCCTCCATTACCGCATTCGTTCCTCTTCCCCACCCGCCTCCTGTTCACTTAACTTTCACAATGTACTTCCCTCCCCTCCTTCTCTCCTCCCCAACCCCCTCCTCTCTTCCCCTCCCCCCTTCTCACCTCCCCTCCCCCCTGCCCCTCCTGACTTCCCTGGGGTAAAGGTTCTGGACTTGCAACGCAACTGGTCCTTCAACAACATGCAGCTAGCCCGCTGCCTCCCCCAGCTGGTGTCGGCCCCCGCCCTGGCCTCCCTGGACTTGCGCGCCACCTGGGTGGGCGAGGAGGGCATAGCCGCATTGGCACGCATCCCCTCCTTGCGGCGCCTGGCACTCAGTCCCCAACACGAGCATTGGTCCAAGTACCTGAACCTGCTGCCGCAGCTGCACCAGCTGACGGCGCTCGTACTCAGGAACCTGCCGTCATTGCCTTACCAACTGGTCGAGGCACTGGCGGGTCTGCCGGGGTTGAGGGAGTTGGATGTTTCGGAGCCGCCGCCGGCGGTGGAAGGTACGGCAGCAGCGGGGGGTTGGGCGGCGGCGGCAGCGGCGACGGCGGCAGTGGTCGCGGCAAAGGAGCCGCTGCGGCCGTACACGGTAGCGGCGCTGGCCCGGCTGCGGGCGCTGCGGCACCTAGATTTGTCCAGGTGTGATGGGGTGTGTGTATGTATGTATGTATGTATGTATGTATGTATGTTATGTATGTATGTATGTATGTATGTATGTATGTATGTATGTATGTATGTATGTGTGTGTGTGGATCATAAAGAAGGAGGCCTTGGTGGCGGGCGTGTGTGAATGTGCGTTTTATTACTGTTGTTGTTATTGTTATCGTTGTTGCTGTTGTTGTTGTTGGTGGTTGCCCCAAATGGTGGACCAGATCCTGCGCCCGCGGGGTCACACTGCTTTCCACAACAACGCATTCCTGATTCACATTTTCCCTCATTCACGTAATTATCCCCCTGCCCATTCCCCGGGCTTCACTCGCTCGTGGTTTGTCTTTTCCCCCCTCCCCCCTCCCCCCTCCCTCCCGTGGGTCGTCTTACACCACCCCCCACCCCATCCTCCCTTGGAAACCGCCGGTTTCCTCACCGCCTCTGGCCGCCTCTGGCCCCCTCTTTGGCTTCAGGCGCAACCTGTTGCCCGATCAGGCTCTCTTCCTGGCCATGTGTATGCCCTCCCTGGAGCGGCTCATTGCGATCCACTGCCCCCTGCCGCCCTCGGCGGTGACCCGGCTGTGGCAGCAGCGGCCCCAGCTGGTAGTGGTGGCGGGGAGCGGCATCGGGGCCATGCACTGCCTCCTGAACATGCAGCAGCAACAGCAGCAACAGCAACAGCAGCAGATAAAACAAGGGCAGCAGCAGCAACAAGGGCGGGTGCAGGGGCAAGTGCTGCAGCAGCAGCAGCAACAACAAGGGGTACGGCAGTCGCAGCCCCCACAGCCGCAGGGGCAACAGGGCCCAGCCGGCCAGGCAGTCGGCGGCTCGGTGCCGGCACTGGCGGAGAGCTGTCCGCTGCCCCCCCTGGACGATGCGGACGGCTTTTTCGGGCCGTAAGTGTCCCTTTGAACCCCGTGTATGTATGTATGTATGTATGTATGTATGTATGTATGTATGTATGTATGTATGTATGTATGTGTGTGTCTCGGACGTTGAGGTGTATGAGGAGGGGGTTCGCCGCGCGAAAGTGCGCTTTCCTTTTTTTTTTGAAGGGGGAAGACGGGGGGAAATTCAGGGGGGCCGCCGCCGCCGCCCCCGAACGGTTTGTATGCGCCGGCATCGCGGCCACCGGCGCAGTTGTAGTTTTTAGGTTTTGGATGTGACCGCTTCGCCGCTCTCGGGAGATCGGGGGGAGGGGGTTGTTGGAGTACCGGACGGGGTTTGATGGGGGAACCTCGGTTTGTCGTTTGCGGTGCATGGGAGTGTGAAGGGTTGTGTGTATCTAGGGGTACGTGGAGTGGGGGGCTCCACCCAGCCCAACCCAACAAGGAGGTGTGTGGGGTGGGTGGGTGGGTGGGTGGGTGGGGGGATTAACATTAAGTTGGAGGTGATGGAAGGCGGGGCGAGATCCGCAGGTGTATGTGCGCGCGGGGGCTGAGTGTACGAATGAAAGCGGTCGTACATGTCTTGTAACATTAAGAGTGCAATTGAAATCTGCGATGCTGGAAGGAGATGAGGAGGATGGAGATGATGTTGGTTGCTACGTCAAACACTCAAGCTACTAACTAACTAACTAACGGACCAAGGCCGAATGGAGCGGCATATGTGTAGGTGTGTATATGTATGTGTGGGGCGGGGGGGTAGAGGAAGGGGGAAGGGTTAGGGCGACAAAAGCGTTCGCGGTGGAATGTCGGTGGGGGGGGAGGGAAGGGGGAGTGGAAAGTTCATAGCAGAGAAGGGAGTGGGGGGAATGGGGTTGGGTGTACGGCTCATACCCTGCCCTGAAGGACTGCCTTTCGGGGCCCCGCACACTCTGATGAAGCTGGCAGTGGCTGCATTGGGCCCGCTCCCCCCCCCCCTTTGGCTCCTCCCCCGGGGCATAAAGAATCCGCCATCTGATGCCTGTCTGTCTGTCTGTCTGTGTGTCCGGACCTTCCGGGACGTCAGGGGGATGGAGGATGGAGCTGTGGCCGGGGTGTGTGTTCTGCTGTCTCGTTCCGCTTGTACGGCACACGCCGCGTGCCTCTCCCCCTCCCCACCCCCTGGGATCCATCCCTAGAGTGAGAGGTCGCAATGGACCGATTAGGAGAGGCTGAAGCTCCGACCTGCCAATCTGTTTAGCTTCTTCCCCCTGCCCTATCGCGCGGCGGCACACAGGAAAGCAAAATAAACACGACAAATATGATAACAAATTGACAACACGAGCAGCATTTGCTAGGTATGTTGTTCGCTGGAAGAAATGCCAACGTGCGGGCGTGGGCGGGAAGCGTATGCTTAGTAATAAACTGCATTTCGCAATTTCGCCGTACATGGTGCACATTCATGGTTGTGGGGGTGCGTTGTAGCTCTGTATGTATGTATGTATGTGTGGAGGTGTGTGTGCGGAGGTGTGTGTGTGGTGGGTGGGGGTTTGGTTACAAGTATCTGCCCGGGCCGGATTCTTTGGTGAAAGTGTTGGAGGCGCTGGAGGGCGGCGCATAGGAAGAAGAAGAAAGAAGAACTGACGTGGCTGTGGTCGAGAGGTATTTGGGGGCATGTTGGTGAGGTGCTGTGTTTTGGTTCCCCCCGGCCCCCCCCCTCCCCGGGGGGGAAAGGGGAGGGAACTTAGGGGCCATGGGGCATGTGGCCGAGGGAAGGGGGCGCCGCCCAGGGCGCAGTATGTACGTATGTATGTATGTGTTACGGGTGGCCGCAACATCATATTCCCCTTGAATTTTTTTGAAAGTGGTCGTGCCTGTATGTGTGTCTGTATATGTCCGAGGTGGGTTTATTCCCTTGCCTGGTGTGTGTGTGTGTGTGTCTGGGGAGGGAGTTGAGGGGGGCCTGGCCACGACCCTGCCATTGCCGCCACTGCTACTGTTACTGCTACTGCTGCTTGTGTCCATGCTGCTACAGCCTACACAGTATTGGGGGGGAGGTTGGAACCCCCCCGAGAACCCTCTCAAAGGGTGGGGGATTCAGGGGCTGTCGTGCGGGAGTATTCTTGCCGTATTCTTGCCGTACAAGAAGCCAGGATGGGAGGTAAGGCTGGGGAGAGAGGGGGCCCGGGGGGTACCAGGTGATGTTACCCGGGGGGACAATTTGGCGCCGTCCCACCGCTTCAATGAGCCGAATCTGCGCCGCGAGGAGGTGGGTGTTCACGTTTTTTCAGCAGCGATGATGGTGGTGATGGTGGCTGGGAAAAGACAGGCCTATTCAGGTTGGTTGGTTAGTGGTTAATGGTTGGTCGGTTGGTTGTTAATTATCTTGCGCTTGTTGTGTGAAGTACAAGATAATCTACATTTTGTTTTCCCGCAGTGCAGCAAATGTAGTAGTAATAGTAATACGGGATGTGGTAGCTATAAATGACAGCGATAGCCACCGCCACCACAAGAACACAAACACACGCACAACTCGAGTCGCCCGGCTGCTAGTAGCAGTGGTAGTAGTAGTAGTATGGCTTTCGGATTTATTCTCTTTTGAGATTTTTGCTTTCTGTTGAATGGGGCAGGACGATGTGGCTGCAGGAGAGCGATTGATAAAGGAGCGCATGTATGTATGTATGCATGTGAGTAGATATGCCCACGGAGGGGGGCAGGGGGACATCCGAATGACTTTCGTAGTAGGTACGGCGCTCCCGTAACTTACGTCATTGCATCGTACAACCGGGTTTTAGGGGCAGCGGCGGGTCCCGGAATGAATGCTGAGGAGGGAGAAGTCACATGCGGATGTCCGGCAGTATGTACGGGAAAACACACACGCACGCACACGCACACATAAACACACAGGCGATGTGTGCGCCCCCCGCATGTGACCTTCCCCGGCCCCGGGCGCCCCCCCAAACACACACCGTATTCTCCTAATGGCGCTATGCTTTCATTTTTGGGCTTGGCTTGGCTGCGTGGTGGCAGCGTTGGGGCGGTGGGTGGTAGCCCAAATGACGCGACGAAGGGGGGCGAGGGGAGAAATCGCCGGGTGCCGGTGCTGGGTGTCGTGGCAGGGAGCAACTTGGCGTGCGGAGGAACGGGGTGTGGGTGTGCAAAACACAAAAAGCCAACTGGTTGCCGGGGTAGCCGGGAAAGCCGTGTAAAGGATGAGGAGCTCTAAAACTAATCGATTTTTGATGCAACGGAGTTTTTTGCCGTACATGTCACGATTGGGGGGACATGCCGGCTGTGGCAGCGCATTGAGCGTCTCTCTTCATACGCATCATTTCCCCCCCGTCCCCCTTTTCAACACTGACCCCGGAGAAGGGGGGGACGAGAGGCGGGAGGGCGGGCCTGTGTGTGTGGGGGGGGGAGAGGGGATGGATGTTAGGTTTCACTCCCCCCGGGGGAGAAGTTGTACAACCAGGCGGCTGGAGGAGGGCGGAGGAGAAAGGGTGGTCTGCGATTTGCGGCATGGTGTCTTTGTACGGTCTACGGCGAAGGTTGTACGATGTGAGGGTACGGGGGCGGTACGGCATACATGCGCAGCGTGCGGTACTATACGACGTAACGGTGGCTTGCTGGGGCTCCCGTCGTCATTCTGTTGTCGCTAGGTGCAGCGGAGCACCCACAGTTGTGAATGATTTCCACCTGCGCACAATCACAACCACCACAACTGCAACAACGACCATTTGCTCTCCGCGTCCTAAGTGTCACGGAACGGTGGTTGGCACCTCTGTTGGCCCCCACACTCTCGGTTTGAAAAGGAGGGTGTGGGGGAGGGAATGCGTCGCGTCTGGATATGCCGCGCGCGGCACACAGTCCATGTGTGTGTGCGTAAGTATATACGTATGTATGTTTACTTCCTTAAGCACAATTTTGCCTTTTAACATTTCCTACGATGGTATCATATCTAGTGGTGGTGATGGTGGCGGTCAAAAGGAGCTGGATTTTGTTCCCTCCCCGCTTCTTTTGGTGCTCACCCTCCCTTCCCCTCCCTCCCCCCCTCGCGGGGGGGGTGTTGTTCGTTAGCCGTGTAACGAATAGTCGTCGCGTGTAGCCCTCCTTGTGTCGTATTGTGTATTGTGTGTGTACGGCCCACACACATTTCCTCCGAGCGCTCCGGACTCCCCCCCCGCATCATCCCCCCCTGTCCCGGGAGCATGTGGGGCGGGCCCCGCATGTGGTGATTAACATGCCGGGATGCCCCCTCCTCCTCCTCCCCCCACCCGGGCTGTACTGTCGAGCGAAGCTGTTTGTAAGGTTAGCAGTAACAGCAGCAGCAGCATTTTCGGTCCCCGCTTCAAGGTGCCGCGTTTGAAGGGCGTATGTATACCTTGCAGATCTCTGCGTCGCCGGTGCGCCGACGAGGGGAGGGGAGGGGGGTGGCGGCCGAGAAAGGACGGGAGGGGGAAGGCGCCGTGTGAATTTGCGGAGTGTACATTGCCGGGGTGGTGTTTGAATGATGGATGATGATGTAGGTGTGCAGGATTCTTACTGGGTGTTTTGCGTACGTATAGATGTACGATCTTACCTGGCAGGGTGATTGTCGGTCGATGGGCGGCTGTACAGTAACAGCGGAGCAGTGTACGACTGTGAAGTACGGTAGGGTTATGATGGTGATGATAATGATATCGATGATGATGATGATGATGATGTCCACATCTACATAGACGCCACACGTGACCTGACATGACATGAGCTTTGTAACCTGTAGTGGTGGCGCCGGCCATTACTGAAGACAAGGACGCACACACACATACATTACACACGCAGGCACACACGCACACATACGCACACATACACACGCAGGCACACACACGCACGCACACATACGCACACATACGCACACACACATACACGTAAGGAAGGCGGGGAAATCGGAAGCCCGAGGGAATTGCCCTCCCTATCCTGTCTGGGACATGAGAACAGCGGATGTAGGGAACGTATGTATGTATGTATGTCTGCTTGTGTGGGGTAAGGGGGTATAGCTTCACCCGTGGCCGCCCGCCTGCTGGAAGCCCCCACCTCCCCCCCGATATTTCTTGGCGACCTCGTCCTCAGTGCCGAGTTCTACGAAGTTAGTGTTACCGTCCACCGGCATGAGGGCATCCACCTTCTACCGGTAGAGGGAACTCCCCCCCTTTCCACACCTCCCGGGGGGGCGGCACGGCGCAACTAGACACAGCACCCAAGTGAAACATGCAAAATGGGGATACGGACGCTTCAGAGACCAGCGGCGAAGGCAGGGAAAGGAAAGACGTGCCGGCGCCAGCGGGTCGTCCCTCAAAAGGTCGGACACGCAATTGCCGTGTAGTATGTGTCCCTGTGCTTCCTAGTTCTTAGACTGGGAGTTAATATGTTTTCATGACTGTTGGTTGCAGGGGCTGCTTGCGCGCCCACTGTCCAGCTCCGACCTCGCAACCCTGGGTGACCGCCATGCCATGATCGTTTTTGTCCCAAATCCAGGACTCACACCAGCAAAGCACGAGGGTGGGGAAGTTGATTTTTGATGATGCTCCACTATCACCCAGTGGTTCACGCAAAAAAAAACAGTTGACAGAGGAGGCCACATGAAGATGCGTACTTGCAGGAACGGATGACCCGTCCAAATTGACGCGGGAAGCGCGCTAGGGCATGTAAAATACACAGACGAGAAAGATCGTAAGTACTGCAAAAACACTTCGGATCCTCACAGCTAGCTGCCAGGATGCTTCGACGGCCGGGGCTTTTGCATCGGAAATAGAAACCATGTGCTTTCCTTATGTTGTGAAAAATTGTAAACACTGGCATGCAGTGTTCCTGTTGGGTAGGGTAGCCTACATATCTACACCAAGGATAGGTCTACTATGGCCCCAACAAAGCAGTTGGGGCCAAAAAGAGGAAGGACCATATGGCACCGTCAACTTTTCCGCCAGCAGTTGTCACAGCCACAAAAGAATAAATTATAATTATATGCTGACTCTTGGGGGTTGCCTGAACTCAGTCAACGGATGTTGCCCTTTCCATTAAGGACCAATTGACCTTTGCGTGCGTGGAGCCTGACCTGTTGCACGATGGGATACATACTTATGAGGTAGAATAAAAAGAGTTGTAGGTGCCCTACCTGTGGAGGCATCACTGCAAGTTTTACAAACTATTGAAGCCAGTTGTAAAACGTCCGCTCCAACACAGATAGGAAGCAGAGGTAGCACAACGCAATGTCAAGCTGTCCTTTTGCATCTGCGTGGGCAGTCCAAAACAGCGGCGCGGTGGGGGCGACGACATTAAATGACTTGCGCCACGCACACAGCGACTTGCAAATGCCAGCCAAATCTCAGGGAGCCCTATTCGATGACGCTTCCTTCCCTCGGACAATTAGCACGCCGAACCTTGCCTCCGAAGCTTCAAAATCTGTTTCAACTATGACCTCGGCGACGGCGTCACCATCATCTGCCAGCGCCGCGCGGCAAGCGCGCGTGAGCAACCCTAGTGCAACAACGAAACCGTCGTCTTCCACCACCACTTCTTCTTACATTTCTTCATTTAGCAACTCCGCTTCAACCATGAGCCAGCGACTCACACGGCGGCAGTTGCGAAAGATGGGCAAGTGCTGGAACCTGTCTGAGGTACGGCAGCATGCCCGCAAGGACGACGCGTGGATCGCGGTGGACGGAAAGGTGTACGACATCACCGAGCACCTGCTCAACCACCCAGGGTGGGAGGACAGCTCGGCCATCAGCACAGTGCTATCCATTCTGGCGCACGCCGGGACCGACTGCAGTCAGGTGCGTGTGCGAGTGCGCGTCTTCACACACACGTTGCCCTCTGCAACAGCAACATTTTAGCAGCAGCACCTTCTCCGTATCAGTACGGCAGTTGTACGGCACTACTTCCAACCTGCCAGTGACAGTAGCTGCCGACAGGTCCTCCGTACGGTTCCATGCCTTATGCCTGCCTAATCGTCAATCATACACAACTGCCGGAAGCAGCAAAAACTTATGTGCGGTGTTTTGTTGGCTCTGTGGCGTGTCGGGGTGTTGCACGGCGGCGTACCTTTCCTAGTCCCGCCAACCAAGCGGACTCACGCCATGTTGCTGTCCATGTGATTTTTTTGCGCCTTCTTTGTTTTCAGGAGTTTCGGGAAATCCATCGGCCGTATCCCGTGGCTTGGCGACAGCTGCAAGCTTACTATATCGGCGACTTGGCACCGGAGGAGGAGGAGGGGCCCAGCTCGAGTCGCCTGTCGAGTTAGCTCGTCTTTGCATTCGCGGGACGCCAAATGGGCGTTTTGCATCTCTTGAAAACTCTTACCTTTCCTATTCGCAAAATTCTTCTTCTACTTTTCCTCCAAATGTTGGCCTTTATGTATATTAATTGGGCACTCAGTAATATTACCTTACAGGCGGGGCGGGACTGCCCGTCGTGTTCATTTCATTTCGTTTTTCCATTTTTTGGCACCGTACATATGAGCATGCAGGACAGCGCGCAGCATACCTTCACTTTATTGCGCTGGGGTATTAGGATGGATTCTTTGGATTCTGGAGTGTACGGCGTGGAGTGTAAACGGCGGTTGGTACGGCGGTGGTCGTTGCCACGCCGGGTCTGTGTGGACTCGTTACCTGTGTGAGTGGTCTGTACTAAATCCATTATATTATATCTTGGAATCCATACAGGTTATGCTCGCGTTAGTATGAAAACCAATACACGTGAGGTGTTTGGGCGGTTGCCTTGATGAGGATAGGTTCCTTTACAGCCTCGTAGATAGATAGTCACCGGATGGGGGGAAGAGGTAGCAGGACAGGAATTCGGGGTATTTGCTTGGATGGCATGTCGTACTGTGTCATTACGGTAGTCGTACTGGACGCGCTACTTGATCAGAGCGGTAGGGGTAGGCAGACAGCCTGATGGGGCTGTGGGCTGTCACTCACCGCCGCCATACCCCGAATAAACATTGCAAACATCGATCGACCCCTATGGGGCTCGAACCTCGAACCCACAGCAGACCCGAGGGCCGTATCAAGAGAAATCACCGCCGCATCTCGCCCAGCAGACATTTTCCACCGCCACCGCCCCACTAACGTCATATAGCAGCAGAAGCAGGAGGCCATCTCGGCACACGGGACGAGGGGGAAGCAAGGAGGAAAGCATGTAGGGGATATGTAAGCAGACCACGTAGCGTGACCAGATAGGACAGTTTGCTCAGTGTACGACACAGTACGATAAGCAATCCGCCAAAAACATGCTTTCCGTGTCTATGGGGAAGGCACCTCGATCCCGCGGGAGGCACTTCATTGGAGAATTGAAGAGATTGATTAATACGGATTGTAATAAAAGCAAAAGGGCGTCATATAGAATTACAAATTATAAGTCCAGCACGAGTGGGGGGGGATCCGTCAAAGCCGGGAGGCCATGGAGGCCATGTATAGCCATATACTGGATGAGGCGGGGTCTAGATAGCAGAACCAAATAGCCACCGTCGGTTGTATGGCTGGCTTTTGATTGGACGGTCAGTCCTCCCGGATATATCCTCACCCGCCTGACACATGCTCACTGCGGCCGAATGGGTCACCATCTGTTGCAAGGCAAATTGGCTTGCGAACTGGTGGAGTTGTTAGAGTGCATGGTGTGCCCTGACAGCGCACTTTATGTCTTCAGACCTGTACTTCAGGCTGTTCTAGCTGGCCGTACATGTGAATGCATGGCTAAAACGGCTTTGTTTTCAGGCACATTCTCTTTTGTCATACATTTGCAATAACGGCTGTCGCGCGCTTAGGAGGTTTAGCACGAAACTGCGCTCCACATACCCAGAGAGGCAAATAGTTTTCCTTCGGCGCCAAAATTGGAAAAAAACCTTTCATTCACTAAATCCCTTCGGATTGGAGCGCCCAATGCGGCCCCCCTCATAAACACCCCTCGATACAAGCAAAGCGCTCCACCCAGCTACCAAAGGCCCAGCCCAGGAAAGCCCTCCAATGCTCCAGGGACAGCACCGCCCGCGAAATCACTCCTCTCATCGCCGGGGGCCTTCCCGCACCTGTACATGGTTCTGCTGCTCTGCACCCTCCTTTCGGTGCACCGTGCATTATCACCGTACCACTCTAACTCATTCATACATTACCACACTTAGGGTTCCTCGCCGACACCTAAACCTCAATTCCAGTGCTCGAGGGCCGCGTAGCCGATTATTGCTTCATCGCGGATTGATGTTTGTTAACTAAGATTGTGGTCTAAGAGAACCTGAGCACACTAAGAAAACTCCCAAGACACCGGGTTGATACACCACCAGCGACAGGCTGGACCGCACCCGGGATACAACTGCCCCAAAACCCTGGTGGAACAAATTGCAACAGAATTCGGGTCAATCACCGTATGGCGACTGGTTGGATTCAGTTTTAGTGTTCTCAGTTGCATACACGTACACATACACATACTGCAGGAGGAGGTGGGTACAACGTAGAAGTGCGCGAGGTATAGAGGTACGTATGCATGTATTGTAAGTACAACAGACACGGACATGAACGCTCAAAACATTGCGGCGGAAAGCGCCGTCAACTTCCTCTCAGCGGGGTCTCAGCTGCGGCCCCACACACCCCACACCCCCGCCACCACTACCCCTGTTCACGGCTCCCACCCCGGACCCCCCGGCCACACAGCTCCGCCGCCATCAACAACCAGTAACGGCCCTCACAAGGTGGCATGTGTACGGTAGTGCTACCTCCAGAGGGGGTGAAGACAAACAGACAGACAGACAGACAGGAAGTGAAGGGAGAGATGCGTCGCCAACGACTCGCAAAACTTAGGTCGTGTGAAAGAGGCCGTCGCCGTCGCCGTCGCCAACGCTGAAACGTCATCATCACAGCTGCCAACGACGAGCGGAGCAGCCCGCCCTAGGCCGGCGGCCGGAGGTATCAGTCGAGAATTAAGATTTAAGATTTGAGATCTCAGTTCCGACGGTAGTTTGCGCCACAGCCCAAAATGTCCAACATGCCCATTCCGGTGCTGGCGGAGGAGGAGGAGGCTGCAGCAGCGCTGCTGCCGCCGCCGCGAGGGCCCCGCAGACCGCCGCTGGCGGCGGGCACCCCCCCAACGGCTACGGAGATTTGCCAGCTGAGCTCCTTCACCTGCAGCTGGCTCTCGGACAGCTGCGGCAATACCGGGGCGGCGGCAGTTATAACCCGTTGGGCAGGTCGGTACGGATCGGTACGGCATGAGCGTTGTAGATGATATGGAGGGGGACCCAGGCTGCTGTTGAAAATGGATCGAGCACACACACACACATATACATACATACACACCAGAGCACCTTGGTGGCTGAAGTTGCTCTCCATAAAATATTTACGCAAATCACCAACCAAGCTACCCAACCAGGGAGGTGCAATCTAGACTCCTCCCGGACCACACCACACCACACCACACCCCTCACCACAGCCCATATCCTAGCGTCGCCAACAGGGCCACAGGCCCCCCACCCCCCACCTGCTGTTGTAACCGGGAGACCTCCTCCTCCAAACCCACGGCACGCCGCGTCTGCACGGCAGCCGCCAGCTCCGCCTCATCCACCCGCTGCTGCATCTCCGCAAGCATACCCGAATGCCGGGCAGCCAGACGGCGGTCCTCCCGCGACAGAGCCCCCGAGGTGGTCGGGGAGGCGGCGAAGAGGGTGTCGCCAGAGACCCCGTCAGCGGCGTCGCCGTCACCCGGGACGCCGTCTCCCCGGGTGCCGTACTCGCCGGAACGGGCACCTGAATGTGCCGGCAACAATACCCCCATATGTAGATCAATAAGCTATTAATTGGATTGTTAATAATTAATAAATTAGTAAATAGACTGAACAACGTCAAGGAAAACATGCCAACACGTTCTGGGCGTGTGGGGAAAGGTTTTGAAGTCGCGAGGGTATTTGGGCGGTGTGAAGGCAAAGAGCGGAACATGACCGGAATGCCTGAATACAGCAGTCCGACTCCAGACTCCGCGACCCGGCGGCCATGTGGAGGTCACGTGGGCGACGGATCGACAGCCGCAGCACCCACTGACACTAAACTCCCGCCTAAGGTTGGGTTGAACAAAAAAACATTTCCTTTTCTTTCCATGACATGCGACGACACAAGGGGGCGGGGGCGCCACAATGAACCATAGCTTGCAAGTGTACAACCAGAGCCCAAGTCCCCAGTTCGAAGCCCGAACCCCCCGAGAGTTAGCACGCACCTACGAGGCTGCCCACGCGGTCGCGAGAAGATACCGACGGCCGCAGGACCCCCATGGCGGCGCCAGCCACCATCGGCCCCCCGGATGTACGACCCTCGTCATCCACTCTCGCCAGAGCCAACGTCAGCTCGATCTTGGCCAGCTCAGCCGCCTCCGCGCGCGCCTCCGCCTGGCGGGCCTCTGAGGTCGCGGCCTGCTCCCGCGCCAGTGCGGCCGCCACCCTCCGCTCAGCCTCCTCCTCGCGAGCCGCCACAGCTGAGGGTGAGGGTGAGGGTGAGGGTGAGGGTGAGGGTGAGGGTGAGGGTGAGGGTGAGGGTGAGGGTGAGGGTGAGGGTGAGGGTGAGGGTGCACGCCAATGCCTGAATCGAACCCATGCAAAATCGCCTCCCCCACCTCTGCCCCGCCGTCTACCCGGCTATGGTGTTGCTCGTCGGCGGCTGTTTCCCCCTCCCTCCCTTCCCCCCCTCACCCGCCGCCACCATGCGCTCAAAGTCCTGTCGCAGAGACTCCCCGTCCCGGTTAGCAGCTGCCTGGCCCGCTCGCTCCTCCGTCAGCATCGCCTCAACCGCCGCCAGCTTGCCCGCCGCCTCCGCCGCCGCCGCAACCTGCACCGACAGCGACCCTTCCAACCGCACCGCCGCCGCACGCGCGTCCTCCAGCTGCTGCTGCAGTGTTGCCCGCTCCGCCTCCACCGCCTGGTGGTGGTACCACGTGGACTCACATGTGTGACCCGCGACATCCATCACATAGGTGTGTGTATGTGTATGTGTATGTGTATGTGTATGTGTATGTGTATGTGTATGTGAATGTGTATGTGTATGTGTACGTGTATGTGTATGTGTATGTGTATGTGTATGTGTATGTGTATGTGTATGTGTATGTATCTGTATCAACATATGACGGAGTCTCTTTAATACATGTGTAAGATTGTTGCGAAAAAACCTCCGTCCGGCCCGCCATGATACAATCTGAACGAATGCTGAACAGACGAACAAATACCGGACCCGGAAGAATTCCTCCGAAACCCCCTTCCTCCCTGCAGCTGTGAAAACACACATAAACACACATACATACACACACATACACACATACACACACATACACACACCGACCTTTTCCCGACACGGATCTGGGATATGTCCCCATAACCCGGCGGCGGGGGAGGTTCTGGTAGCCACGGTAGCCGTGACAGCAATGCCGGACAGCAACGGGTTCTAACGGCTGTGCGGATGACGTCTCGAGTGATTGCGATGGGCGTGAATACCCGCCTGGGTTAGGCCCCCGCTCCCCTCCCCTTCCCTTTCCCCTCCCCCCCCCCTTCACACGCAGATACCACCACCTCCAACAACCCCAACTGCACCATGCCTGCCATGACGTACCAGGCCCCTCCCCCGGTGCGCAAACACCACACGCATACACACACACACGCGCGCGACCGCGCGCATTCGCTTTACCTGGCACCTCGCCGCCTCCTCCTCCGCCCGGTGCTCCGCTGCCGCCGCCGCCGCCACGTGCGAGGCGATCTGCGCCTGCACCGCCTCCAGCTGCTGCCGCGCCGACTCCAGCTCGCCCTTGAAGCTGCGCTGCAGCACCTGGAACTTGCGGTTACGTTCGGCCGCCTCGGCCTCCATAGCCCTGCTCGGGGTATGGTGGGAAGTCGGAAGGGTTAGAAAGGGCCAATACACACACACCCTCTCTCTCTCTCCAGGGAGTTACAGCTACAGCTACTAGGGGGGCCATTTGGATTATTCGTGATCGTCTGTTTTTGCCCTTTTGCCCCGTACTCCACGGTCGTACAACACCCGGCCCCAAAACAACCCCTCGTGGCTCTCGTTGTGTGCCCCTCGGCATACACACACCCCAATACACACCCCGCACCTGACACGTTCCTCCAGCTGCTGCTGCGCCGCCTGCGCCTCGGCAGCTGCCTGGCGCGCCGCCGCTTTGTCCGCCTCCAGCCGGGCCGTGAGGGGGCCAAAGTCCGCCACCTGCCACCGCCACCATCACCACCACCACCACGGCATGCATGTCAGCAGACAGGCAGGCAGGCCAAAGGTACCGAGCAGGTAACGCCTAGTAGGCGAGCTAGGGCGCTACGGTAAACGAGTTGCCGGCTGTGCGGCACGTTAGGACCGCAGCAGCAGCAGCAGCAGCAGCAGTAGTACGTAGCAGCAACGGCCCAATCAATCATCGGCCGCACCAGGGGGTGGGGGCCCCCACGGCGTTACAAGCACGTGCAGCGCACACTCCACGGGATGTGTGTGCACGACGCGCGTACGATGTGCATTAGTCACATCCCAGTACGAAATATGAAGTGCACATATCAATTAGAATGTTTTCATTCCTTGGACACAGCACGCACACATCACATATCACCACAAGTCACGCCTCTGTGTTTTCCCCCCGCTCCCGTTCCCGCTGCCCCGTTGAGGGCCCCCTAATATCCCCCTGTCCAAATAAACGAGCCTTGCTTGCTCTAACCCTGCGTATCAGAATCCAAGATCCGTAATTTAATATAAAATATTTAAATTAATTAATATTCCGTGATCCAACGATACACCGTACAAGAGTGATCCGTGCCGTACCTTTTTCCGTAGCCGCTCCATGTCGCCACTGGCGGCCTGCAGCACCGCCAGCTCCTCCTCCGCCGCCTGCGCCCTCTGCCTGACGATCTCCAGCTCATGCTGGGTCTCCTGATCAAGCAACGTCGTAATCAGGCCATGAAATACACATAGGGTGAAGCACGACGGGGTTGAGGTGGGGGAGCATACATGCACGCATCCGCGCAAGCAAAGCACACATATGCATGTGCGATGATGCGTTTAGGTGAATGTGGATGTGAATGTGTATGATATGACGGGTAGGAGGAGGGGGGATGGTGTCGCGCTACATCTCGTCGTTATGTCGTTCACATGAGGTAACCTGACACATCGCATGTTTGCGCAGCCCACTCGCTTTCCGTCTTTCGTGCCGTTTTTAACTAACGCACACAGACCTACACACAGACCTACATACAGACTGCGGCTCAGCTCACTAAAACGATCACATATGATAGACACAGCAGCGGCGGTCGTGTGTGGTTGCGTTTTTGAACATGGCGAAAGCATCTGACAGCTGAGAACTAGACAGAGAAGGAGAAGATTTCTTGCTCCAGGCGATGGACGCCATAGGCGCCCGTGATGGCCTTCAGGCTTGGGCCCAACTAGTCCTTACAAACACTGATTCACAGGCGTTGATCAGTGGATATAGATCACGCCTACTGCCCATGGCCCAACGTGTTGTGTACGGCAAGGATGCCCCCTATCGCCTTTGTTGTATCTGCTTGCCGCACATGCATTTCTTTGCTGGATGCATCATTGTGGAGTGGGAGTGTAGGGTTACATCAGGACACCGGTCCGCTTCAGATTGCGGTTCAGTTTGCAGATGATACTGAAGTTGGATTTGGATGGCCGGCATGTGGTGTATGGGGACGTAATTTACGAAACGTCGGGACAAAAATTCCGCCTGGATAAGGTGGAGTTATTGGCGATTGGCGAGGTTCGAGTGAATTGAAATGATGATGCATGCGGCATGAAGGTAGTTGATACCGCAACGGCTCTGATTCTGCTGCCCTTCGCCGAGGGGGAGCAGCAGGCCGACAAAGTTGAGTCACGGTTTGCAAAAGTAGCACTGTTGCACTTGTCGGTGTTTGGGCCGTGCAACAGCAACCGCTGCTTACGGGCCGCATCACATACTTTGGCACGTGGAACGAGGTGGAATGCCACCAAATGCGGTAGCAGATACCTTGGAAAGGAAATCGGCATGCCATATTGACTGATTGGAGTTGCAACCTCCAAATTCAAAAAAAAAAACGGACAAACGGGATTCCCCGGCGCCTATTACCAGGTCATCCGACCTGTGGAGGTTTCGGAGCGGTCCCAATTAGGGAGCATGTTCAGATGTTCAGATGTCAGATGTTAGGCTCTGTTAGATCCGTGTTGCACTCCAGGCAGTGGGAATGCCAAACAAGTCCGCGCCTTGGGTGCAGGTCATAGCCTCATACTTAGCTGGAATACATCCGGTCTTAGTCGTAGCCGAGCTTGCTGAGGTGTTGTGCATGCCGTTACGGACCAGTTGTTCTTCCTTTCCAGGCTATGTGTGTCTATTACAGCGACAGGTTATGTGCCCTTTGGCTCGGTTTCTTCGCTTTACGGTATAGAAACTGGTAGCCTGCTGTAATAACAACAACAATAGACACACGGACACATACACACACATAAACACATAAACACAAGATAGCATTAGGAAGAAGACAGCACACATAGATACGCACAGGCACGCACTTGCAAGGCCGCCGCATGACGGCCCGCCGCCTCCTCCAGTCGAGTCTGCCACTGCTTGGCGAGCGCCGCAGTTGCCGCCGCCACCTCCGTCGCTGCCCTGGCCTCCACCTCAGATCGGACCACGGCCGCGGTGGCCGCAGCGGCATCACGCTCCGCAGTCAGACTGTCCCGGAGCACCGACACCTGGGGGGGCGGGGGAGGGGGGATTACGTCATCGGCCCAGGAAGGAGGAGGATTAGGGAGAAGGGAGTAGAATCAGAAAAGAATATCATATGAACCAAGACAGTTAAAATACACCGCAGCAAGGAACAACGTGTAAAGAAGTGGCAATTAAATTAATAATGCAAGCAGCATACCACGCTGCACATGTCAAGGTACAAGCAGCGTGAAAAAATAAATAAAAAAGACCTTGCGCATCGTATGTTATGTATGTGTATACAGCGCAAGCCGAGTGCAAGGTGGAGAAGATTCGAGAGAGATCTCCCCTGGAGCCAGCAGGGTGTGGGTTTTGAGACAGCAGGGCGGCTCCAGGGCGGCTCCAGGGCGGCCGCCACCAGGGCGGCTACAGGCGACATGCGTCCCCCTCCATTTCGGGTTCCTACGTCTTACGAACGGCTAGTCCGGTGGTTATTTTGTGCTCCGTGTAGCATTACGGCACGACTTATGCTTCTTATTGTGGTGGCGGCAGCGGCTACACGGCTACACGGACGGATTCAGTCGGACTCCGCGGGGTCGCCCTCACCGGCGCCATACCCCTCGCCTGTGCTGTGCTGTGCTGTGTACCGCACCACTTCCGAGCATCCCGATATATACATCCACACACACATATCTGCTTTTATCCGCTGCCACCACCACCACCACCATACAAGAGCGCCAAGAGCGCATCCTCCTACCTCCGTAGCTCAGATCACTAAGCCTGTAACCCTCTCTCAACCCCATCTCACCCACACGCACACACTCCTCCACAGGACCCAATCCGAAAATTGGTTTGAGAGTTGCCATCATCCCGCACCCTACCACCCTGCCTGCCTGCTGCTCAAGCTGGCGCGCGGCGGTCCGCGCCGACACCGCCTCCTTCTCCATCGCCGTCAACTTGTGCTGCAGCGCCGACACCGCCTCATCGTGCTGCGCGGCGGCCGCTGCGAGCGCCGCCTCCAGCTCTGTCGTGCGGGATGTAGCTGCCGCCAGCCGCTGCGCCGCCAGGGCCACCTCCGCTTTTGAGCCCGTCCGTATCGCCTCCAATGCGGCGGTCTTGTCCGCCACCTGACATCGCCCCGCCATAAGGCCCAGTAAGAGAATTTTACTAAAGTGGGAGAAAAGAAAAGAATCCACTTTCTTCTCAATTTCTGAACCTCCACCAATTCCGAACCTTCGTCATTTCTGAATTGCCATACACAAACCCTTTTAAGGTGCTGCTTCTGCTGCTGCTTCTGCTCTTATTCCCTCCTATATACTTATCCGACCACCTCCCCATTTTCCCCCATACAAAAGTAGTTTAAATTCTCCTGCCTCTTCTCCTGCTACTTGCTGATAACACCCCAGTAATAACTTTTTAAGGTTAGTCGATATAATAGCTGCAGCCGGGCCCCGCAGCCGGCTCACCCAGGTAGTGTACCCTCGGGGCCTCACCTCGTGAGCGAGCCTCTCCACCTTGGCCTCAACAGCAGCCACGTGGTTCCTGGACGCGGCCAGCTCGGACAGCGCGTCGTGCAGCTCCTTCTTGGACTGAGCTAGAGCACGCTCCGAAACCTGCAGCGCCTGGGACCTACCGCACGGCATCGTGGCAGGACCATACAGGCAGGGAGCGCGGCCATTATTTTTAATATTCATGCAGCAGACCACCTGAGAGGCAAAGGACGCATCCCACACCCACGGCACAGCACCGCTGCTGCTGCCACCACCACGGCGCACACAACACGCGTTAAGGAAAGGTACCGGAATACCACGTAACCAGACACACTCCCCTCCAGATTTCCAAGCCCTGCCCTCCACATACCCTTTCGCAAGCTGCTGCTCCAGCTCAGATACCCGAGCTTTGAGCAGCTTCTCACTGCTTTGCGCCGCCGCCAGTGCCGCCGCTGCCGCCTGGGATGTCTCGCCGCTCTCACTAAGCTGCTGCTGCTGCTGCGCAACCTGGCCCTCCAGAGCAGCCACGCGGGACATCAGCGCCGAGCACGATGCCTCCAGCTCGCTCCGCACCTTTTCCAGTGCGTCTGCCTGTGCCTGCGCTTCCTTTAACGCTTCTGACCCGTGGGTCACTTCTGCTTCCAGACGGGCTTTTTCATCCTCCAGCGCCTCTAAGCGCGCCTGTGCCTCCAGCAGAGCGCCCGAGACCTCCGCCAGCTGCTGATCTAGGCGAGTCTGCTCCTGCGACAGCCGCAAGCAGCGACCCGCAGCGTCCTCACCGGCAGTGGCGAGGGACGCCACAGCTGTGTCCAGCTCGCCTCGGAGCTGCTGCACCTGTGCTTCCGCCGCCTCCGCGCGTGCGATCAGCGCTGCTTCGGTAGCAGCCGACGCTTCGGCGGCGGCGGACGCATGAGCCTCCAGGTCCATTACCCGCTGCGCCGCCGCTGCTGCGGCAGCGGCGGACGCCGCCAACCGTGCTTCCAGCTCACGCCCGCGTTGCTCCGCCGCATCCAGGTCCGCCTGCAGCCGCCGCCGCTGCTCTTCCGCCTCCACACTGCATGCCTCGCGGGCCTCCCGAGCCTCTCGCAGCTGCCCCTGGAGCCGCTGCAGCCGCTCCTCCAGGGAAGCCCGCTCCTGCTCCGCCAGTTGCACCCGCTGCCGTATATCGTACAGCTCGCCGTCACGCGTGCCCAGCTGCTTCCGTAGCTGCGCTGCCAACTCAGCCCCGGAGCGCAACTGTGCAATCTCGGCCCTCAGGCGCAACAGCTCATTATTATGCTCCTGTGCTGCATCATGCGCTGACGGTGCCAGCACCACCGCCGCCGCCGCTGATGACGACGACACGGTAGCCGAGGCCGTGTCCCGATGGCCCTGCAGCGCCGACAGCTGCTTTTCAACATCATCTAACAAATTGGCGTACGGAACGTACTTTGAGACGGTCGCCTCGTACAGCGCCGCCGTCGACTCAAGCTGCCCCACATACAGCGCCAGTTGTTGCGCAACGTTGGCACCTGCAGCTGCAGCGCGGCCCTGCTCGTCTGCCTGGCGGCGCAGCTCGTCCAAGCTGTCGTTCAGCTCGTCCAACTCACGCCGGTGACGCGCTTCGTCTGCCGCCAGGCGCTGCTTCAGGCGCTCCAGCTCTCCCGCCACCTCCGCCGCACGACCTTCCGCTTCCACCCGTCCCAGGCCCGCCTCCGCCACACGACGGCGCTCGAGCTCCAGCGCCGCGTCGCGTTCCTGCAACACTGCCTTGTGCTGTGCAAGCTCTGATCGTAGCTGCTTCAACTCGGCTGTCAACACTTCCGTCTGCTGTTTGGCCTCTGCCAGCTGCGCCGATAACGCGGCGGAGGCGGCCTCCGCTGCTTGGACCTGCTGCTCCTGCTGCTGGCTCTGCACTTGCAGCTCCGCGGCCAGGCGGCCGGATTCAGCGGCCGCCTGCTGGGCCCGCGCCTCTGCCTGCGTTCACGTGCGCGGTGTCGTGCACGGCTTCCTGTTATTAACAATATAGCAAAGCGCCACGGACCCCAAGGGCCCTATTACTGCTCTCACATTCTGCTTACAAATGAATGCCGATCATCCTCCAACAGTGGGCGGTTTAGCGCTAACGCCTTATTAAGCACGCGGTAGGCCATGCGAGCTCTCCCACCATCCCGTCTATTGCGTTGACTGATGCACAAACTATTACACTACCACGGCATTGCAAATGCCAAACTGCTATAGACCTATAGACTGGTAATTAATATGCCTGTTGGCCAAAAGCCCTTGCGGCCGCTACGGGCTGATGTCCCATGTGCAGGTCCCAAAGCCCGCTGTCCCCTCCGCCACCACACCTTCGCCAAACAGCACTAAGCACCCTCCTCCCGCCCACAAACAGCAACTAGGCATCTCCTCCCGCCTGACTAAGAGCCTGCCGGACCTCGTTGAGGTCCGCCGTCGCCGCGTCAAGCTGCGCCTGAAGCCCCGCCACAGCGGCGTCCATCTCCGCCACTGCCGCCGCCTGGGCCTCTGCCCGGGCAGCCGCCACAGCGACCCCAAGCGCAAAAGCCGCATCCTGCTGCTCCTGCTGCCTCCGATCCAGCTCCGCCTGCAGTTGCGCCAGGTGCTCATCGCGCTGCTGCAACTGGGCCCGCAGCTCACCAACCTGCTCGGTCAGCTCATCAAGACGCTCTGGAGACGCTGCCGTGCTACCTGCGTTTCAGACAAGGATTAAAATCAAGGCCGCCGGGGCAAACACTCTCGAGCGCCTTCCCCTAAGTCTAAATTTCTTAAATGTAGCAGTTAACGATATGGAAAACGGTGTTTCCCTTAAGCACGAGCAGGGCACCCGGATGTACAGCATACACACACGGCGGAGCATACACACACGCAATAGCAGAGCCAGAGGTCCGGGCCCCAATTCGCCTCGCACCCCTGATGTACTTAGCGCCGTCCTCCGTCCTCGTCCCCACCCCTTGCCGGAGCTCGCCCGCCAGCATCTCACTCTCTTCGCGGTTCCGCCGTAGCGTCTCCAGTTCCTCCTTCAGCTGCTGCTGCTGCTGCTCCAGCTCCCCATGCTGCTCCCGCAGACGTGTGTGGCTGGCCTCCAATTCAGTGAGCTGTTGTTTGGTCGCCATAAGCAAGCTGTACTGGCGCCGGCCCTTGGCCTCCATCGCCTTGGCGGCCGCCTCGCTGGCGGCCAGGGCGTCCTTGGGCAAGATGAGGGGGGGATGAGGAGGCGATGAGGAGGGTTGGAGGTTAAGGCGAAGACAAGCGAGCGCTGAGACGACGGTACGGGACAGGGGTAAGGGTGAGAATAATGTGGTATAAGCATTTTGGCGCTCATATGCACTGGATGCACACAGCACCGTGGTAATGCCGTGGTCGAGGGGTTTCATCGAGTGGTAAGGTGTAAATCCGTGTGCGCTTTGTTGTAGGACCGACCGGTAGTGTGATCATGGGCATAGTCGCGTGGCGTTCTTTCTCTTCCCTCCCAGCCGCCGCTGCCGCCGCGTGGTGCCTAAACACGGCCTGACGTGTCATGCCCCGCTTAAGTGCTCGCCCAAACCCAACTTCTGCTGCCTTCATCCATCTGCGCTGTAACCGCCAATCTCTGGTATCATCGGTATCACTCGTCTGTAGTTCCTCTTCCTACCATCCATCCCGCATCCTGATTTCCGGTTGTTTTCCACCACGAGAGAGAAAGAGAGAAGCTCTCCTGTGCGGTGCTACCTTTAATTTCTGCACCTCCTCCGACGGCGCCGACTGCCCAGTCGTAGCGCTCTGCATCTGCATCTGCTGCTCCAGCTCCCTCTGTACGGCCTCCAGCCGCTGCTCCGCCGTCACCTTGGCGGCCTGCTCCCGTGCGAGCGCGTCCTGGGCATCCTCCAGCTCCCCCAACACGTCCGCCGCCGTCTAGCACAACAAGGACACACCAATACACACACACACACACACACCGCAGTCTCACACACGGGTTGTGCCTCGGAGCGTCGCTGGGCATTGCTGGCCCATTTTTCACGAGGGCAAAGGCATTGCGGGCGGCAACAGCAACGAAAAGTATGATATACATGCGGATGTAGGTAGAGCGCTGGGAACTGAGGTGACAAGAGGGACTTAGTCGGGCCCCAGCAAGACCCGTCGACCTCTCCCTTGAATGTGTGGGTGGTGTGAGTTTGCACACGGTCTGGAATGTCGGAGGGGCGTACCTCTTGGAGCTTCTGGACTTGACGCTGTAGCTTTACATTCTCTTCTCGTAGCTGGATTAGGGACGCGCTCTCCTGCAGCTCATGAACCCCGCAGATTGGTGAGGAAGCCCTTGCCTGCATAAGCGCGCGGCGGTTCCGTACCAAACCCTGTCACCTGTCCATTTGAGCTGTGTGCTAGGACCTGATCTCCATGGCCAGCAGTAACCCCCGACTGCGAAAGAGGGAGGGGAAGCGATAAATGCAAGCTCGGGCCTGACCCGTGCGCAACTGCTAAGCGTACCGCTTTCACAGGTTGTCCAGGTTCGATGACCAAGACGCTGCTTGCAAGCTTATCTAGTTGTCCAGTCAGTTGTTGCTTGGCGGTGTTCTTCGTACGCAAGGAAAGGCCATCAGATCAGCATGGAAGGCACGGACCCCAGACATTTACGATGACCGATCGGAGCAAGATAATAAAATATACACGATAAGCGTGCATCTGGATTTATGCTTGTCCTCACCAAAGTCGCATCAAGACCAGCCTCTTTGATTACCGACCCGGCTTGTTCTGATACTAATTTCGTTAGGTTGTTAATCTGGCCCCACATGTTTGCTCTGCAGGTTGCGCCAGCGTGATTATGAACAGAGGGAATTAATAATACTTTACACGAAAAGCTGGCTAGTACAAGTGTAACCTACTTGGCGTCACGTTGCCAAGAAAACAAGCAGTTGCAGAGTGTAATTCGCGTCTGACCAACAAAGGAACCTTGCCGTAAGGTGTACGAAAAGAGTGACAATCAAGCGTCCAGGGTTGCAACGCCATCTGCTGTCCATCACATGTCGTCCACGGCAACTTCGACGCTCGATCTCATGGCATAGTTCCATATGCAGACAAGCTGGTTGCTCCGCACTGACCTGATGTGATAGGAGGAATGAGAGGCATCGGGATTTTGTAAATCCCATTTGAAACTTGTATGCTTCATAGACCGAGGCAACGCCCAACAGGCGGCAAAGAATGGCAAGTTTCAGGTTTCATACTAGTAGAGCTCCCTTGAGGGCCCTTGGGTGACACGGGCTTCAACTCATCAGCAACATCAGCAGCAACTGATTTTACTGAACGGGTGACGGCCGCATGACATGATTTGGAGCTGACTGGCTGACTGGCTCGCTGAATGTACTACCTAAGCAGTGATAACTGATTTTCGCGACAGTTATCATAGACTATTGATGGGCGTCTCAGGAGTCGCTGACAATACCGGGCGCCCGATGCAGGGCTCGGAGGAGCTCAGCTCTGCTGTCATCCCTGAGGACATTGAAGACCATAATTATGACGCCTTATACAAGGCTGCGTGTACATTGCCTGAAGTCATCGTCGCTTTTGGCGGCCAGCGCGCCCGTGTGCTGGGAGGACACTGCGCTTCCTGCAACGCAATCTTCGTGACGCCAGTTCCATCACATACAGTACCAAAACATCCCCCTCTCCATTTGAAGCCGAATTATGACACCGGGCATGACGAATTGGGGACGCCAACTAAGCAGCTGCCCGTGCCCGTCTCCAAGCCACCCCTCACCCTCTACGGATTTTGGTAAGCCAATCCCTTCTGTAGGTCCTGTACGGATTCGCAGCTGGTCGTACAGGTCCTGCTGGTCATGCCTGTACGACAATCTTGTAAGGCAGTCCAAAGACATAAGTCCTGTCTGTAGCAGCGTTTCTTCTGCAGCTCGGGGGCTGGAGAACGGAGGGTCCACCAGGGGCTCCATTTTCTGCTCCAGCCTCGGTCGTCACGATGACTTATTGTTACTACGGTTGGGAGGGCCCCCAACGGCGGCTAACCGGCTGGCAGGGTGCCGGGGGGTGCCCCCGTCGGGACGAAAAAAGAACAAAAAAGCTATGGGGCAGGTTGTACGAATATGTGTCCAAGGGGACGAGATAGAAAGGAATAAAGCGAGACGGGGGGAGGGAGTTCCGCACCACTTTTACTGGTGCTGATGCTGATGTCGGTTGTACAGCAACACCCATCGCACGGTCGTGATGGCGATGCCACCTCAACGGGGGTCTTCCCCGTTGCGCGCGTGTGTGTGTATATGCCGTGTTTTGCTTGCCGCTGTAGGCTATGCGCCAAGGTCAACGCGATGGAGATGCACCCCGCCTACAGCGCGGAGTCGGAGCTGGCGTGTCAGGAGGAGCTACTGATTGTGGAACCAGACGGAAAGGTGCAGAGGAGCCGGTCGGGGAGGGGGGGAGGGGGAGATGTGGAGGGGGGGAAAGGGGAGGAGCACGCGGTCTTTATTGGTTGGGTTGGGAGTGGGTCCCGTCGCTTTGGTGGTGTGCTCACCGGTCACTGGAACCTTTGCCCCCCTGTCCACGAAGACGTTAAAGGCTCAGAGGATTCCAGTCCGTGTCACCACTGGGCTCTTTTTTCATCATCATCATCATCATCATCAGCGTGCTGGGGAAGTGCGGTGGGAGGTCTGCATGAAAATAGTCTCTGGCTGAAATTACGAGACGTGAGCTTACATGTTCGTATGACTGTGTGAAGTAGGGGAGGGGTTACATACATACATCGCTTCACCCACAAGTACCAACTGCTGCAAGGTCACAGTGACTTTTTTGGCGGTGTTCAGCACCCACCATCGCCAGCAGCACCAGTTGTTGGTCCTGCCGCAGGTAAACGGCAGTGTCAGCTCTACTCCACGACATTCCCCGTTGGTTTGCAGGTCTCTCGCTACAACCGGGAGGACCCATCACGGCCCATCTACATGGGGATGTGTAACCATGTCTGACCGGTAGCGGGATTTTTTCTCGCGCATGGTCGGGATCGATCCTGGAACCTTTCATGGATGCAATGCTGCGCCTTAGCTTACATAAACAATTGAGTGCAAAACTCTACATATGCATATGTGCATCATAAGACGTGTTCTCCTTGCAATTAACACATTTTAACAGAAGAGAAGAAGAAGAAGAAGAAGAAGAAGAAGAAGAAGAAGAAGAAGAAAAACAGCAACAACAATATCGCCCCGCTGATATCTGCTCGGGGCCCCTTGTGCCCCTGTTCCTCCCCTCCTGCGCAGACGGAAATGACCCTCCTGCAGTTCCTCGTGAGAGCCAGCGCCATCCTGGGGGGTCAGAGTCTCAGGGCCCGGGACCTGCGAGTCCTGTGGTGGGTTGGCAGAGGGGTGGGGGATGTGGGGAGGGAGGGGCGGGAAGGAAGAAACATGCTGTGTGTTTTATGTGCGTTTTATGCTGTGTGTTCTGGTGGGGGGGACAGGGGGAGGAATCGCATGCAGTGAGCTGTTGTGGTTGGAGAGAGGGGTAGGGTGGAGAGGGCCTGGGTGTGGTGGAGGGGGATGGGGGAGTGGGGACTTCTTAGTGAGCGGGGGTGGGGGTGGGGCCAGTACGACCGTGTAGCCAACTCTGTAGCGCAACCACCACAATCTCTACGACAGTTACCACAACCACCCTGCTCCATGTAAACACCCGATCGGCGGGGTCAGGCGGTCTACCTCCCCCAGCAGCTATTAAACTTTGGGCGGCAGCGTGTGATTTTCCTTGTTTCCTTGCCTGTGTTGTCCCCCTCCCCTCCCCCCTGCCCTGCCCCCCATGTTCCCTACGTCAGGTGGGATGAGGCCGACAGCGAGGGGCAGTACCGCCCTCGCTGGTACTTAGCGGAGATACGGACCTTCTACCAGGACAAGGGCGCACACAGGGTGGGGGGGCCCGGAGGGGTTGCGAAGCGCGCGCGCGTGTGTGTGTGTGTGCAAGCAAGAAAGCAAGCAAGCAAACATGGGTAATTGTTCTGCAGTCTGACACCCACCCTCTGTTTTCACTAACCCACAATCCTTTCCGCACGTTCTAACCCTCGCTACCTCGCTCTACCTCACTCGCTCATCCACTCACTTTCCCCCAGACCCCCCACACCACACCACACCACACCGCGTCCCCCATCCCCCTGCTGCCACACGTGCTCACACACACGCTCTCTCTCACGTCTTAGCGAATAGTTGAACACTGGCAGGGCCGGCATGGGCCGTTGTCTTTCCCTTCCCTTCCTGACCTGATCTCGTACCCGGCCGCCCTGATCGCTCCGGAACCGCAGATCAAGTACAAGCCGCTGGAGAACATGCCGAAGCAGAGCGAGTTTGTGTTCCTGCCTCTCACACTGCACCACATGGGGCCCTGCGTGCCGGCGGAGCTCGACCTGGCGGTGCCCTTCCCGCCGCGGTCCTCGTCGCTGGCGGCGGCGGCGGCGGCGGAGAGACCGCAAAATGGGGTGGGTAGTGGGGGGTGGGGAGCGGGGCAGGGGGTAGCGGCCTGCAGTGCGCAAAACCCTACGATGTGGGGTAAGGAGGGGCGGAAATGACGGAGGCCGCGTTGAGGTGCGACGGGCACCTGGCTTTCCAGTTTGTTGCTGAACTGGGCGCTCTTCCTACTCCTACTCCTACTCCTCTTCCGCTTTCCCACTTGGATGGGTGGTTGGGTGGGTCGGAGGGTGGATGGGTGGGTGGGTGGGTGTCTTGCCACCCGTCTGTTTCCTTTCCTCGCTTTGAGTCCAACTTGAGTCCCGGCTTTCCGTACACAGATCCCGCCTGTTGGAGGTGCGGGTCCAGACAGTGCTGCAGCCGCTGCCTCCATAGCTGCGACTACAGCTACAGCCAGCGAAGACAACGACAACGACCCACGGGACACGGCCACCACCACGACCACCAGCCAGTCAGCACAGGAGCCTTGTAGCGCCGCGGCAGCTGGGGCCGGGGCGGAGGCTGCCACCGCTGGCGCCACGTCAGCAGACCCTGGAGAAGCCCCCGCCGGCGGCGGCGGTGGCGGCGGCGGCGGTGCTGGTGGTTTCCGAGGCGGCGAGCGAGTGCCCCGTGAGATTATGCGGCTGCTGACGGACAGCCCTAGGCCGGGGCCTGGAGGAACCAGAGCCTGCTTGGGGTCGCCGGCGTCGGCGTCGGGGGAAACGGTGTCCCCGTGGGCATCCCCCGGGGCGGACAACCCAACAACCCGGGCCGTGTCGGCTTCGCAGGTCGCTGGTTCCGGAGCGTTTCGGAGGCAGCTTTTGGCGCGGTCCGGCAGGGGCCTGGCGGGGCCAGCTGCGAGGCGTGGGACGCGGGGAAGAAGCCGGGGTGGTGGGTTTATCCGTGTGGATGGGCGCGGCGGGAGGGGAAGGGGCCGCGGGCGGCCTCCCCTTGCGGCCACCGTCGCCGCCGCGGCGGCGGCGGCGGCGGCAGGGCGTCAAGCTGCCGTCGGATTAGGTCGTCATGGGGCTGGGAGAGCCGGGGAAATGGCAGGTGGAGGCCGGCGGGGGCGGGGGCGGAGGGGCCGTGGACAAGGAGCTGGGAAACAAAAGGAGGGAAGGGGTGGCGGACCGGCGGCGGCAGCGCCATCGGCAGATGCGGGTGCAGGTACGGCAGGAGGACGATTACCACGGGGGATGCAAGTCGCCGCGAAGCCGGCCGCCGCTGCGTCCGCGGTGACGCTTGGGCCGTCGGGGGAAAGGAGGGCGTCATTGACCAGTAGCAGCAGCGGCGGAAACGCGACGTCGTACACGACCGCGAGGAGCTCGGGAGCCTGCGCTGCAGCGGCGGCAGCAACAGGAAAGGACGAGGCAGCAGCGGCCGCGGGAGGATGTACGGCAACGCTAGGAAAGACCGCTGGGCCGTTGAGCTTTGTACGGCGGTCACCGGCGCTTCTCCTGGCGGCAGGCAAGCTGACGGTACGGAAAACGAGATCCATGTTGGAGCTTGTGGAGCAGTTGCCCATGATAAAGAAGCCGAAGCCGACGGCCCGCGGCGGCAAGGCGCGGGCGGCCGGCGGCGGCGGAGCTGCCGCCGCTGCGGGTTTGCCGGGCAGCGCTTCCGGCAGCGTCACTGGCGGCGCAGGTGCCAATACCAACGGGAGGCGTGGGCCGCCGAAGCCTCGACAGGCGGCCGGCGCCCAGGGGACGGGGCCCGGCGGCGCGCGGGCAGCGGACAAACGTACGGGTACGGCGGCCGCGGCTGGTGGGCCTGGTCGGAAGGGGGTGGGAAGCCAGCCGGGAAGTGCAGCCGTCGTTGCCGCTTCCGCCGCCGCCACCCTGGTGCCGAAGGATTGTCCTCAAGGACCGCCGCCGCCCAAACGTCCGCGGCTGGAGGAGGAGGCTGACGGCGCTGCTGCTGCGGCGGCGGCGGCGGCGGCGGCGCCAGCGGAAGGCCCCGCGGAGCCCGAGGGTCACGACCACGACCTGGTACCTAGGAGGCTCGGGGTGAAACCGGGCGGTGGCGCCGACGGCGACGGCGCCGCTGCTAGCGAGCCACGGCGTAGCGACGTAGCTGACGACGCGGCAGCCGCGGCGGCGGCAGCGGCGACACCCGCCGCCATCGTCAACGGTGGCGATGGCGATGGCGGCGGCGACTTTGCGGTCTCTGCGCCGTCACCTCCAAAGCGCCAACGCGGCAGTCGGGAACTCGCGAACCTGCTCAGGACGGACAAGGTTCGATCTGGACGCAGCGATGAGTCGCCGACTGGTGCCTTGGCGGCGGCAGATGGTACGGACGGTACGGAGGGCCGGCAGCAGCTCATGGTGGTGGAGGTAGACGGCCGCCGCCGCCGGGATGATGCGAACATGATGACGGAGGGGGCTGCGGGGGAGCAGACCGACACAGCGGCAGTAGAGGCGACGGCTGTAGTAGCAATGTCAGCGGAGCTAGCGGCGGCGGCGGTGGCGGGGACCTCAAGCCCGAATGGACGAGATGACCGGAGGCGGCACGAGCAAGAGGAGGATGATGAGGAGGAGGAGGAGAAGCAGAGGCAGCAGCCCCGGCCGGAGGTACGGCGGGGCCGAGGACGGGGCCGAGGACGGGGACGGGGACGGGGACGGTCGCGTCCTCAGGGACATGAGGCCATCGATGCTGGCGTCAAGGCTTCGAAAGGCCGTAGCGCAGCGGGTACGGCGTCGACGGAGGCGGAGTTGGATGATGGTGCCCCTGGAGCGCTTGGCGGCGGAGCCGGGGCTGACGGCATGGCGGAGCTGGCTGCACTGGATGGCCCCCCACCATCGAGTTCCCTGGAGGCGGCACAGGACGGCGCCGCGGCGGCGGCGCCGCCGTGCCTGCCGCCCGCTGCTGCCGGGGCTACCGTGCCTCCGCCGGCATATGCCATCCAAGCTGCCAGCCCGTCTGACAATGCGGCTGCAGGGCGGGCTGCGGTCAGCAATCGCAGAGGTGGCGTCGTCATTAGTACCGGTGCCGGTGCCCGGGGATCCGTTCGTGGCCAGGCAGTGGAGATGCGGTCTTCGAGGGCTGTGGTAAACGCAGCGGCGGCGGCGCCGCCGCCGCCGCCGGAGATAGCCGTACTCAGGTCCGCGTTGATGGGGCTGGCGATGTCAGCGTCCCGGGTGCAGGAGGCAGCGGCGGCAGCTGCCGCCGCCGCGGCTACTGCCTGCGGCGTGCCGCCGCCGGCGGCGCTAGCGGCGGCCGCCGCCAGCAGCGATCCTGAAGATACGGCAGCAGATCCGCTTATCGGCCCGGTTGCGCGTGGGTTGATGACGGAGGGGACGCCGGTGGAGAGGCTGGCGCTGCTGAGGAAGGTGATGACGGTTGTGCAGCGTGCCGCGACGGGCTTGGCGGGTCTGCCGCCGCTGGGGTCCCGTGCCGACGGCGGCGGTGCCGTCAACCTGTCGGGATTGCGCGCTCGCGCGGGACTGGATGGCCGGGCCCGGTCAGATGCCCCCTTGGACGTGATGATAAGGTCGGGTCAAGGCCGTCAGTCGGCGCAGAGGCTGTTGGACTCGGGGCCGTCGGCAGCCGCGGGCGCGTCTCGTCCAGGCCGACGGCGGCGACGTCGCCTGCAGCAGCGGCAGGAGGACGTGGAGGAACAGGAGATGGAAGAGGAGGACCTGATGCGGCCGCAGCGGCAAATGGCTCACATCGAACCGCCGGCGCCGCTGCTGCCGCCGCGGCCGCCGAGTGCGGCCGCTGCCGCGCTGCTGCCGCCGCCGCGGCGCTCCGCTGCTGCTGCTGCTGCTGCTGCTGCTGCTGCTGCTGAAGCTAGACTTGCTGCCGATGCAGATGCAGATGCTACGGCAGCGGTGGTGGCGGCGGCGGATGCGGGCTTGGACGTGGCGGGGACGTCGGGGCGGGCTCCCATGGCGGGTCACGAAGGTTCCGGCGGCGACGTCATCTTCCTTTCTGGATCGTCGTCAGTTCTCTCTGCGGATTGGCGGTACGACGGTACGGCGGATGTGGAGCCGCCGCTGGAGATGCTTCTCCGTGACGCCCAGCCGTCGCAACTCCTCTCCCATCCGCCGCCGCCGCCGCTGTGTGGACATCCCACTGGAACACCGGCGGAGTTTCCCACGGTGTACGGTGAGGACGAGGAGGCAGCTGCGTGGGACTTTGCCGCTGCCGTCGCCGCCGCCGCCGCCGCCGCCGCGGCGAGCGGTGACGGGGCGCTTTTGGGGCTCGCTTCGAGCGGTTGTAGGACTGAGGGCATTTCCGGAGGCGCGGATGGGATCCGATCCAGAAGTCACTCGACCTCAGGCCAGGTTGTCGTACAGGCTCGCGCCGACTTGCAGGTAACGCCGCCGCCGCCACCGCTGCACATGGATCCAACCGCTGCCGGCGCTATGCCGCTGACGGAACCGCCGCCGCCGCCCCTGCAGCCGTTTGCTCCCTTAGTGGCGGCCCGGCAGCAGTGGCAACAACAACAACAACAACCTACGCTGTGGCAGTCTGGCGGGGGCCGCAAGCGTCCGTCGGCAGCAGCAGCGGCGGCGGCGGCGACGGGGCAGGGGTCGATGGGACACGGAGCGCCGCCGGCGCCACCGCTGCAGCCGCGGTCATCGCTACAACCGGCAGGCGAGGATTCCGAACTCCTGTCGCAGCGGAATCAGCTGCTACAGCCCCTGCAACAGCAGCAGCAGCAGCAGTTCCTGCCTTACGCGCGTTCGGAGGATGCGGCATGGACTCTAATGCCCAAGCGGCCGCGCGTGGCGGCGGCAGCTACCACGGCGGAGGTAGCTGCCGTACAGCAGGGCATCGGCCAAGTAAGGCGCGTGAGGGCGACGGATCTGAGGACCAGCAGTCATGACGCGGCGGCGGTGGCGGTGGGGGCTGGCGGCGGCGGCGGCGAGGGGCTGTTGCCGTCGGCGCTGCAAACGTTGGCATCTGCAGCGGAGGTCATGGAGCGCGACGCGTCTGGTGCGGCGGAGCGGCGAATGGGGCGGTCGTCCTCCGCTGGCATTACGGCACTGTCGGCACAAGCGTTGGAGCGCACCGATGTGTCGACGATGTTGCTGGCAGGCACCAGGCGCGCTGCATCGCCTGAACCCCCGGTGGTTCTGCTGGCGGCAGAGCCCTCAGCGCAGGGGCTGGCGGCGGCGGCGGCGGCAGCGGCGGCGGCCCCGCAGCGTGGTGGCCGGCCGCCGAGGCCGAGGCCGTCCACCAACTCGGCAGCGGCTCTGGCGCTTGAGGACCACCATCGAGGTTTGACATCCGAGGCTCCCTCATTCGGCAACGGCGGCGGCGGCGCGCTGGAGGCCTTAGGCTACCGTACAGGCCAGTACAACCGCTGGGAGGATCAACCACGGCCGCAGCAGCAGCAACAGTTGCTGCAGCAACAACAACAGAGTGACATATTGGACCTGTCACAACTGCCGCCTTCCCTGCAACAGCAGCAGCAGCAGCAGCAACAACAGCAGCTATTGGATGAGCAGATTGCAGTGCAACAACAGCATCAACAGCAGCAGTACATGCAACAAGAAGAAATGCTGCAGCAATTTCAGCAACAAGAGCAGCAGCGGTTACACCATCAACAGCAGCAGCAGGGCCAGGGGTACATGCTCATGCAACAACAACAGCAACAACAACAGCAGCAACAGCAGCAACAACAGCTGCTTCAGCAACAGCAATACCAACAGCAGCAACAGCAATACCAACAGCAGCAACAACAAGAACAACAGCAACAGCTGTGCTCCGGCACAAGCGGCTTAGGAACCTCGTCCATCCGGCGCTCGGCCACCCAGATCTACAACGAGGTTTACGCGACAGCTGTGACCCGTGGGTCACACCAGTCAGCGGCCACCCAAATCCTTCCCGTGGTGGCCTACGATGGGAACTTATCCGTCGACGGCGGCGACCTCCTCACCTTCGCCTCCGAAGCCCATGGCCAGCACCAGCATTATCCATCGCGCATCTCCCGCACATTAACACAGCAGGAATTCAATACGGTTCAGGCGGCGGCAGCTGCCGCCGCTACCGCTGCCGCCGCCGCGGCGGCCGCTGCGGCGGCGGCGGCGCCGCCGCCGCCACCGCAGCTTGACCTTGACAGTTGCGGACCGCTTCCCGTCACTTTGCACGACTATGGCCATCACCACCACCACCATCAGCAGCAGCAGCAGCAGCAGCGTCATGGAGCTGTCCACGCCCAGAGCCAGGATCAGGATCAGGATCAGGATCATCAGAGCCTCAGTTCAGCCTGCCGGCACTCCCCAGCTGTCTCCCTGCGGCTGCGGCCCCTACAGGGCCCCGGCTCCTTGGGGCCCGTCAAAGGCCTCAGGCCTAATGCAGGTGGTCTTTCCGAGCCCGCCTTCGCCGCGGGTCATCAAAACGTAGTGGACCTTGAAGGCGAGCTGCTAGGGGGCCTGGGGCTCAGCCTAAGTCACGGGCACCAGAGTAGCGGTGGGGCGCCGCCGCCGCCGCCGCTGGCCCCGCTGACGGCGGAGGTGGTCGCGTATGGCGCCCCAACTCGGCGCTCAAGTACGGCGCTACAGCACCGCTCATCGTACGAACACCCGGCGCTGCACGAAAACGCCGCAGCGGTCCACGCCGGGAGCAGCGGTGGTGGAACCGCATATCCAGCTATGCATCTGTACGGCACGCGTGTACAGCAGCAGATTGACGAGATGGCGCTACCGCCGCCGCTGCCGACTCTGCGCCATTCAGGAAGCGGTGGCAGCCTTGCGGCAGAGCCCCCCGTGTCTTTACAACACCGCTTCTCCTCAGCTGCTGCTGCGCAGCAGACACAGCAGCATCGACAGTTGGTGTTCCTACGGTCGCAGCATCCACACCACCAGCAACAGCAACAACAACATCAAGCGCACCACGCACACCAGCAGCAGCAGCACCATCACCACCATCGGGGGTCGCTATCCGGGTTGTACGACACTACTGGGGTTGGGAATGGCGGAAGTGACGGAGGCGGCGGAGGCCGAGGCATCCGTGATCAGCTGCTGGAAGTCCTGGTAGGAAGCCACCGGGATGCTGGAGGCGGGAGGCTGGTTGCGGCGTTTGGGGCTGGGTCGGGGTCGGGGTGCGGAGGCGCCCCGAGAGGTCCCGGAATGTAGGGATGCGGGCTGTCGCCAGTTGGGGGCCGGGGGTGAGGGACAGGGACAGGGAAAGAAGTGGCGCCCGGTGAGGGCAGAGGGTCGCGTGACGGTCCACGAAGGGGGAGTGGGGAAATGGGGTTGTCGCACAGGAGGAGCCGAAAGCAATGGAGGCTTCTAAGGCCACCCTGTCAATTTCCAGGAGGAGGGGGAAGGAGAGGAGGAGGAGGTCGAGGTCGTTGAATGGAGGCAGCGCTTAGGCCAATGGTGGTGGTGGTGGTGGTGGTGGTGGCGGCGGTGGTGGCGGTGTTGGATGAGGAGGGAGAGGAAGTAGGGAAAGGCTGCGTCGGCGGCAGAAAGGCCTCCCTGGCTTTCCGTGGGTCCCGTGTAATAATATCTCTCTAGATATTTGGCGAAGGGCGGAGAGCTTAGCGGGGAGCTTAGGGGGGAGCTTCACGGCTCCGTGGGGAATGCCGCCCTGACGACATTGCTGTGAGCCGGGCATGGACGAAGGTGATGTTTCCGGAGCATCGTGACGAGCATCGTGACGAGCGATATTTCGGCATTGCTGTTGTTGTGAGGCTGTGGGCCACCTCGCTGCGGGTGTTGCTGGTAGCTGCTGTTAGTCGTTGTGGTGGTGGTGGTGGTGGTGGTGGTCGGAGTGCTTCCTCTTGCGGCTCCGAGTTGTATCGTTTGTTGCGTCTTGCAGGGGGTCCGCCCCGCGCTGTCCGGTTTACCCGGGGACAGCTTGCGCCCGGGAGGGAGGAAGGGAGGGAGGGAGGGTGGGAAGGGGGGAGGGCGGGAGGATGTGGGCACACGGAGGGCGCCGAACCGAACCGAACCGAACTGAACTGAACTGAACTGAACTACTGGTGGTACTCCTCATCGCGGGAAAGGAAGGCAGTGGGTTGGCGGGCAGGGGAAGAGCATGACAGGACAGTCAGGGTCAGGGTGGGCACGTAATCTCTATGGGATGTTAAGCGGTTGGGGGGGGTGGAGGAGAAAAGCGGAGAGGGTAAACGCTCAGCTCGGCTCAGGAAGGTGGTCAAAGGGGGGAGGGGAGGTAGTGGGGGAAGAGGAGCCCGTCGGGGGCTCCTTGGGAGGCTGGAAATTCCTCTTCCGGGGGTGTCTCCAGGGGGGATTCTCAATCGCTTCGCTGGGTTGCGGAGTAACAGCCAAAGCTCCCGGGTCTCGAGGCTAATTACTATTTGGGGAGGGGCGCGCTCACGCGGGGCCGAACACCGCCGAACCGTAATATGCGCCCGAGGGGGGTTGCATGGCGACGTGGTGTGCAGGTCCCTGTTTTTGCATGTGTGTGTGTGTGTGCAGTGCTGTATATGGATCTCTGTTAATATGTCTGTAGATATGCAGGTAGGGCGGCAGGGCATATAGCAATGTTGGCTTCAGCTTTTGGGAGAGCGATCCTGCTGCTGCACACGGCAAGTCATGTGATGCTTTTCCGTATCAGGATTTCCTGCACTGCACTGCACTGCACATGTTCATCTGCACCTATTATCTTGCGTTGTGTTGTTTGCGTGGTGCATTTCGAAGAGTTCCGAAGGTCATTACGGGCGCACGGTATATCCCACGTGGCTCTCGTTAGATCGGGGGTGCTTGGCGGACTTGGCCCCGCCTTTTAAGAAACGTATTTGGAGATGATGGACGGGCTGATGTCCCCCCCGTTGGTGGAGGGGTTCTTGGTCGGAGTGCCACGTGCGGTGTAAGGGATGATGAGGTTCCAAGCGGCCGGTTGAACGGAGGGGGGTGCGTGAGGGGTGCGGGACACGTACATACATTTAGATGCTCCGGCTCCAGACACACACGGCGATGGTAGCGGCGGCGATGGTTACCGTTACCAGGGGGCGCTTTGGACGCCCCTGTCCCGATGACCGGGCTACCCGCTACATGAACGCAAGCGAAAGCCGGAATGGGCATAAACGAGAACGCGAGCGAAAGTCTCAAACGGAGGAATCTCTTTAATTTTGGTGACGTTTGCACCGCACATGTCCTCTTGCTTCACCGCTGACAGGGGCACCTTGGTTCGTGGCCGACCGCTTAGGTGCGGCAGGTTACTGTCTCCAACGACGCGACGGTTGCGGTGGGGCACAGGCCGTGACTGGTTTGTGAGGCAGATGTGATCCAACTGACAGGGGCTAAGTAACAGTGGCCCCGTTGCGTGGTAGACCTGGGAAGTGGAAGGGGGGAGTCAACTGATGTGTGTGTGTGTGGGGGGTACCACTCATGTCATGTTCCAGCAAAGGCGGCGCAAGGCCCCAAAAGCAACCCTAGGCCCAGTCGAGCGCCACCGAGGACGGGGGGAGGTGGAGGAGGTGGAGCCGGAGGTGAATGACCCGACAGACTCAGACCAAACAAGCTCGAGATTGTTCCCGAAGCGGAGATCGTACGCCTGGCGGCCTGCATGCGCCTGTGCGACGTGTTGTTACACTGCAAATACACAGCACGGGGCGTCTGCTTCCCCGTGCTCCTCCCCGAATACTGCAATGAGCAATGACAAGTTTCTGGCTTTGGGTCATTAACAAGACAGTGTCGATTTCCCGGGCGTTTCAAAGGCGGCACGAGCGTTTCAGGTTTTATCACCTCACCCCCCCGGTCCTCCTCCTGGACTTCCTTTCCAGTCGGTTTGCGAACCGCCTACCCGCCCAGGCGGAATGAGTGGCCATACCTGTAGGGGCGGCCCCGCAAGCCACTCGAACCATCTAACCACATCACCACCACCACATTCGCAACCTGGAGCGCGGTACCGCCAGCAGCACCATAGCAAGTTCAGCCTCCTCAAGACTCTCGCCACACACACCCCTGCCAAACTCAAGTCGACCGAAAATTCCGAACCTGAAATCCCAGCGACCCCTTCCCACCAATCGACCCCCTGCTCGTCACCTCATCAAGGCCGCTGCGGGTGGGTGCCTCCGCATACCCCCCACCTCCGTCCGGGAATAAAAACACCTCATCCCCATCCTCCTCCTCCTCCTCCCCATCCCCATCCGCTTGCTCCCCCACCTATGGATAGATCTTTATTGCTTTGTAGGGGTGATGGAGTAAGCGAAGTAGCAGCACATTACGCCACTCCTCCTTCCCCCCTGTCCCATGCAGCACGGTTGTACGACACCACTGTACGACATCACTCGCTCGCTCATAACGCACGTGTGTATCATCTCTGTACCAGTATCTCTATTTTATATACCAAGTAGTAATCTGTATTACTTCAAAACACCGTGCCGCCTTCGTACGTCCCGGGGTCAGGCCGATCATGCTTCCAGGGCCCCCCCGTGATGGGGTCCCCGAAGGGAATGGCGGTGTCGGGGCTCCAGTTGTGTGCGCAACGGTACGTGTCCGTGTGGGTAATCTTGCAGCAGGGAGGGGTGAACTTGTAGCGCCAGGGGTTGGGATTGCGCGGGAAACCTTGGGTCAAGGCGTACTCGAAGCCCTGCTCGTGCATGGCTGCGGGGACAGCAACAAAGCAACCCCACCACCACCACCACCACCACAGCAAGGCGGAAGCAAAAGGGCCGGACGACGTGGGGGAGTCAGTGACATCTTCGGGGAGGAGCCGGCAGGCGGTTGGGGTGGCTGAAATTGCAAATCCAGATCCAGGTGCAGATCCACACAACCCCCCATTTACCTTTGGATCTGTTGTACAACGCCTCCGCCATGTGTATTGCGGGCAGTCCGTACTCTTGCATCACCTTCTCCGGGTTCAGGGAACTGATGCGAGCTACACACTGACCCACCTGCAGAGGGGGAGGTACAGAAATGGGGGAAATGGAGGAATAGAGCTGAGATAGAGGAGGGATGAACAAAGATTTCCTCAATTGTATCTTTAAATACATTCGACTAGTGACCGACTGGCTGAATTACCGATCGACCGACTAACTGAAAGTAAAACCGACCCGCACATCAAGTATCCTGCTTCTCCCTACCTGACTTGCCGGATTGACTGATGTTGAATGTTACCAACGAACCCACTAACTACCTATAACAGACTAACCGGCCAACCAATATGCGTTCCTAACCAGAGTACGGAAGCCCCGTTCGCTCACCGCCACACTCTGAAACCCATTTCATATTTCAAAAACCCAAAAAGTTGAAAAGAAAAGGCCCCTACCCCAGTACAGACCATTACTGCGCCAGTCTCCTCCCTTCACCCCGCGCACGAGCCCCCCACACCTCCCCCCTCCAGCCCCTCCCCCTCTGTTACCTGCGCTGGCAGGTTCTTGCCCATCTGCCCCCCGGGCACATAGCACCGGTAGTCGAACAGAAGCGCCACGTTGGCCCAACACATGGGGACCTGGAGGAGGGGACGGGGTGCGCGTGCGTGTGTGTATGTGGTGGCGAAAGGGAGGGGGGAGGGGAAAGGAAAGGAAACCCCTCGTGCCAGTGTGGGCCAACCTTGAGGGGACAGTTGCGGTTTCCGACCGCGGAGGTGCAGCAGCAGCAGCAGCAGCAGCAGCAGGCATACAGACAGACAGGAAGACAGGAAGACACATATGGCACACAGATACATATGCAGCGGCACGACGACATACACACAACCGAGATAAACAATTCAAGCATTCAACTGCTCAGATAAACTGACAGACGGACACGCGGGGCGCGTGACGTATTGAGGCGCGTGAACTTACACAATACACCCATACACACAGGCACACGGCCTTTCCCGCCTAATCCCCCCTCCCCATCGTCACCCCCCACGCACCTTAGTACCCCAGTTGGGGAATTTGTGGATCCAGGCGTTCTCCATCACGTTGATGGTGTACTTCTTGGTGGTGGGTAACAAAATGGAGTCCGCTGCCAAAATGCGGTTCTCGTAAAAGGCACGCTGACAAACGTGATAATGGTGGGGGGGGAGCGGGGAAGGGGCAGGGTGTTAAGAGGGAGTGCGGCGGGTTGAGGGCAGGCGCGGACCTAGACGGTGTGGAGAGGAAGGGCGGTTGAGGGGCGGCGTGGGGGTGAGGTGAAGTTGCTGGGCCGCCTAGACGCTACCCCGGCCCCTCTCCTTGGTTTCTCCACCACTACCAGTACCCCGCCACGGCCATTATTTCACCTCCGGAAGCGCACGTGTGTCAACTCAACCCGCGCCTCCTTCACCTTCCCATCGCTCGAGTTTCAAACCAGGTGTCAAGGTCGTCGTTTCGTTTCCTTTTTTTCCCCCGATTTCCCCCCGCGGGGCCGCCCCCCCTTCCCGCCAGCCAAACCTCGCACCACCCCCAGGCGGCCCACCCCAACCCCACCCCACCCCTTCTAGGAGCCCCTTTCCTCCCCCCGGCTCCCACCTCGTTGTCAATCAGCCTCATGGTGCCGTCATTGTCAATGAAGATGTTCTGGGCGTGGCGGTCGTTTTGACTGGTAAGCAGGTCAAAGATGGCCGCAAGGATTGTCTGTGTGTACGGAAAAAGGATTTGTAGGGGAAAAGGAGCAGAGCAAAGAAAGGAGAGGCAAAGGCGGGTTGGAAACCCCTCGTAAGTAAAAAGGCCCCTTGGCGTCGAGCTCAGCGTCTCTCTGGAAAGGGGGCCGAGCCCCCGGTTGAGGGGCATCCTGGGTGTTCGTGTTGGTGGTGGTGGTGGTGGTGGTGGGGAGTGGGGAGTGGACCCCTTTATGGGCGGATGGGCGGAGCAGAAAGAGCAACAAGCCAGCTGCACTGCACTGCACTGTACTGCACTGCACTGCACGCGGTAACACAGAGGGAACGCAGGCTGAGCAAGAGAGCGTCACCCCTTACGGGCGAGGTGTGACGGTTGCCGTACTTGCTTATGGTTGACTTTGTTGTGCAGGATGTCCAGTAGGTCGTCCGGATGCATCATCGGGTTACCCAGGCGGACCTGTAACATGGGGGTGGGTGGGGAATGTATGTATGTATGTATGTATGTATGTATGTATGTATGTATGTACGTCACGCTAGGAAAGCAAACATCAGTAACAGTAGGGGTAATGCAATACACACACGTGCGTGGGTTCGTGTTTGTTAGGGGGGTAGGTAGGGGCCCCGCATGAACCACCGCAGATACAACACAAGGCCCCGCAGATACAACAGGAGGGTCAAGGCAGGCAGCTAAGCACCAAACCCTCGCCTTTTACACACTGTCGTACGCAAACGTAGTCGTACCAGGTTCTCCAGGCTGATGCCGTCCACCATCTCCATCCACAAACCCAACCACCTGCAACCACCATGGCAACCAATCAACCAACCAAGTCAAGGTGAGGGGGTGTGGAAGGAGGGGAGGGACGGATGAAATGCAAATGCCAGCGTAGGGGGTAGGGCAAGGGGGTAGTGGGTAAGGTTACAAGGAAAACTGGACAGGCAATTCAAGCCAGCATTGGCTGCGAATCCGGGTGGCTGAAAAACACGGGTGGGGTCATAGGGAAATGAAGGAAGGTGGAGGAGGTGTATGTGCGTATGTCTGTGTGGAGGGGAGCGATGAAAGGCACTGGGAGGGAACAGGTACTCGGGGACGGGGGAAGGGGAAGGGTCACCCGCCCCCCCCCCTCTGCCGAGCACTCCCAAAACCCCTCCTCCCCCCCATCCAGGCTCCACGACCCCGCCAGCCCTTACAACCCTGAAACTCTCTTCTGTCGTACCGGATGTGGTAGCCCACTTCCGGAATGACCGCATTCACCCAGTCCACCCAAACCTTGGGTACGATATCTGGGCGGGAAGGGGAGGGGGGGAGGGGTGGTGCGCAAAGGGAGGTTGGAAAGGGTTCGGGAAGGGGGGGGGGGAAATCACACCAAGCGTAAGAAAGGGACCGGAAACCCCGATATGACACGTGGGGGTGGGGGGGAAGAAGAAGAAGAAGAAGAAGGGGAGAAACACACCCAAGCACATACATACATACATACATACATACATACATACATACATACATACATACCTGTCAGTCCGCACTCCTCCGACAGCTTCTCAATGGCCAAATAGATCTTGGCGTATTTCAGCGCCAAATCCGGATAGCACTGCGCGAACTTGTGTCGTGCGTGTTTCCCGACGGGGATGCACGCCACCTTCACAATGGCCTTCTTGTTGCGTGTCTTGTCGGTGGGGGCCACAAACAGCCAGGAGGGGGAGGCGCCCACCTCGTCACGGAACCAGGTGTTGAAGAGCTTCTTCTGACCGTGGCTACCCTGCAGAGGCGGAGGCGGAGGCGGAGAGGAGGGGGGAGGGCAAGACGAACCACGAACGAGTGAAGCTAGTGCCAGAAAGACTAATGCGGAAAGACTAATGCGCCAGAAGACAAGACAGCGGGAAGCGGGAAGCGGGGGGGGGAGTTCCGTTGGGTATTCAGGGGGAAGGGGGGTGTAGAGGGGGGATTATATACACGGCATATACACACGGCAAAGCAGTTTGTGACAACTAATCGGCACCAACATCAACACACCGCATCAACAGCAATGAGGGGTGAGCATCGCCGGCCCAACCCTGTACTGCACTGTACTGCACTCCCCACACGTACATCCACCACCCTCCCAGTCAAGAGGGCCGAATCCCCGTTTCCAATACCCCGAGACGACATTTTGCCGTACTCCACGTGGATCTTCTGGACACTGATCTACCGACATACATACGCACAGGCATGCATACATCTAATGAACAGAAACACAAACATACATACAAACACTCCCGCAACTCAACAACATGAAGGGCAGCAGCTAAACATAATCGGCATATCGCACCCGAGGCGGCCACCAAAAGCTGTCCCAGTAGCGGCTCTAGAGTAGCGACCAACACCCCCAAAGGTCGCCGGGGAAAGATAAAACCCTAAAACCCTAAAGCCCTAAAAACACCACGGAACTGTGTGTGAAACCCTCGCCTGGAAACCCCGGCCGCAGCGAGCAGCCCAGTCGCCGGCGGCCCCCCCCCCCCCGAGGGACCCAGCCCCTGCCCCCTCCACCCCCGGCAACCCGACGAGTCCCGGCTGACCCCTCAACAGTGCGAGAACAACTTCCACCGTTCCGTCTCCCCCCCACCCCCCCACCCCCCCACACCCTTCTCCTACCCCTTACGCCCTACTCCTCGGAACTCCCGGGGAAACAACCTCCCCCGCACTCCCTCACCCCCACCAAGGGCTCCACAGGCCCCCCGGCTTCCCACAGTGCTCATTTCGTGCTGACTGCGCAACCCAAAGTAAACACACACACACACACACATCACACCGCCTCTCCCCCTCTTC